GCTGAGTAGTCATGGAATGCTAATGTACCTTCAATAACATTTGAATGTTCTGAAAGGACTTGTATACATGTTGAGATTGTTGGTGATTAAAAGATTTTTGATGGGCCAAATCGGATAGATTTTTTTGCAAAACTACTATTTTCAAAAGCGAAGTTTTATACAATTCGCACATTGATTTTAAAATTTGAATCAATGCAGTATAGTACTAATTCAAATAAACGAACTGCTGTATGTCCTGACACTTTTTAGGTTAATTTAAGAGGAAATTGTATATTAGTTGCAAACGGTCAAAATGTGTTGTTGGTTTGAGAGCCTCTGATGCCCTTGTGTTTGTGTCTTTAATTGTTCTTGGACTTTATTTGTGCTGTTTGTAGGTGGCTGTTCGCGTAAGGAACTCTAACGTATTCCTCAATGGAAACATACGCACGTCTTAGTCGTGCTCAGCTGAGTTTTGACTACTTACACACAAACTCGTAAGAATTTGCGCGAGCAATTCGCTTTATTACGTAGAACAACGCACGAATTTCTTTTCGGAGCCATTGCCGAGCTTATAGATAATGCACGGGATGCTGGCGCAACAGAAATAGATATTTTTACTGGTGAGTTATTTGTGGTGTTTGTTGATAGGTTATAGTGAAAAATCAGAATCTACGTGGCGGTTTTTTGTTGTATTTCCTTGACAATGGTTGCGGAATGACAGCGGGTAGTTTTGGGTACTTCTATTGTATTTTGCATAGACGAAGCAAAAAACGTAATTGTTTTTGGGAAATCGTTTAAAAGGTCTGATGATCGGTCATCCATTGGGATGTATGGTAATGGACTTAAATCGTAAGCCTTTTATCGCTATGACAATTCACAGAGGTTCAATGCGTATTGGAAACGACATGATTCTGTTTACAAAACGAGACGGAATTTTCAGCTGCGTATTCTTGTCCCGTACTTTTCATGAGGCAGAAAAGTTGGATGAAGTTATCGTGCCTTTACCCATCTTCCGAGTAAACGACAGGTCACCCTACATTTCTTCTCCTGACGACCAAAAAAAGGTACAGGGTGGGATTCCGATAATCTCTTTAGCATGAAGTTGAGATGCAAATAATCTACAAATTCTCCCCCTTTCAATGTGCGAGGGATTTCTTTTATCAGTTCGAAAGGATTAAGGGCGACAGTGGAACGTTGGTTATCGTGTACAACATGAAGCTGTTGGACAATGGGTCTACAGAGCTAGACATTACCACGGATCCTCGTGATATCCTTTTGGCTGCTAGTTCCGACAAGGAGGATCCGATGGAGCCTCATGCAGAAATAGAGTAAGACATATACTTGCACGTCTCTAGGTTGTTTTGATGGCGTTTGCAGCTACATGAGTTATTTGATTTTAGGCTCCCTCCAGAGAAACGCAGTCTCCGTGCCTATGTGTCTATACTCTACGCTGACCCCAGGATGAAGGTCTACATTCAATCTCGAAAGGTCCAAACAAAACGGCTTTTAGACACACTATATGCGGTTAAACGTTACAATTTTGCTAGCAAAACATTTCGCACACGAGCTGAGCGTGAACTAGCCAAAGCTAAGGAGGATGTCAAAGTGGGTAGGAATGCCGATCAGTTTTTGCCTCATCTGAGTGCACTTATTTGTGGGAATCGATCGCCTATCTTAGGAATGTCATGGTTGGGTATTCTGTACCAGCATTTCTAGTTTTATTATCGTGTTTCGTTGCATGCCATACCATGTATCAATTATGAACACAATGAAGATTTTTGGGCTCTAGAGGTCCTTGTTCATTAATTTCAGAATTTCTTGTTGCTTCTTCCCTCTCCATAGGTCCTTCGTCAGCTAGGTCTTGACTTCCAGTTAATCGTATGCATCTCATTCCAGGGACCGAGTATTCTGAATACTTCATCAAATTTAGAATTGAAGCTTTTATAAGTGCGCAAACATTTGGACTGAATCGTAGCACCATTAATATTAACGGTATTGAAATGGGGATCAGAATATGGGGAACTGAAGGGTTTATGTTAGTAGAAGAACACTTAAAACCGCTTTCAATTGCAGCAATAGTGGTTGCATGTTTTATTATAATTTTCTGGGTTCCCGCTCGTGTCGTTTTGGATCATGTTTGGTTGTTTTTATATTCTCTGTCTCAGCTTTAAAGTAAGCTTTTGCGACCGCGTAGGTGTTTTTATGTCGTCTAGCTTTCGAAGTCTTTGCAAGAATAATTGAATTACCTGTTTATGAAGCCACTTATCTTACATCCCGAAATACCATTGATTCGCTCCATGTTTGACGACTGATACCCGGGGCTTTTAAACATCTCCGTTAGTTACCGATTCGACCACTTTTGTTCCTCTCTTCTAGCTGAATTGCTTGCCATAGAAGCTGAAAGTAAAGCACGTGATTGTGAACTTCGGTATGAGAATTCCAAAGACCATGAGCATCTTGTAAGTTGTCTTATGCTCTATTTCGCGAAATTCCAGCTTAGGAATCTTGTTATATATTTGAAAGCCTACAGAGTTGTGAACTCAATGCGTTGCCTGTTGTAATCTCAGTCATCACTTTCATTGACGTACAGATTTTGTTGGTGTTTCATCTCTAGAAATTAATTCGTCGACTGAACAATATTGCTGCAGAAAAACGGAGTCTCGTTACCCTTAAACAAAACGTCGTAGCTCGGAAGCAGAAGACACTTAAGGACCCCAAAACGCTCACATTTTATTTTGGGATGAATGTGGTTAACCGAGCCTGTGATGGAATGTTTGTGTACAACTGTTCACGTCTGATTAAGATGTACCAAAGGATTGGTCCTCAGCAAGACTCCAGTATGACGTGTCGAGGTGTTGTAGGCATTGTAGATGTGCCCTATATGGTTTTAGGTAAGCCATTCTGAACATTATTTTCCGTTTATCTATGTTCCTTCCTAGTATATTAATTAATTTTTCATAGTCAAGTGTCTTTCTGTGATGATTTGAATCTCCCTTATAAGAATTGGGTGAATAAGTAGTGGTTTAATTTTCCCCGTCTTTCAGCAGTAGTTAACTGTCTTATTGGAAATTAACATTTGTCGAACAGTAATAACGTTCGTTTTGGTCTGGGTGATTCTAGATCTTTATACTCTAGAATTGTTATTGACGTATTCTGAAATAGATGGTGCATTGATAAACTCTTTGATAGGACCACAATTATTTACTCAGTTTTGCTTTTTATTCGTTTTGTTTTAGTCTTCGAAACGTTAATCGTAATGTCATTGGAGGGCGCATAATCAGGCTGTTAGATCAAAAGAAACATTAATGTACTTTCTCTTATCTATTTCTACCTTTTAAATTTTGCACTTCGCGAGTACGAAGTTGAAGAAAATTGTCACACGCACTAGTCGCTTTTTGCGGTTACATAAGCTAACATAAAATAGACTTTTTCATCCACTTTCGATCATCTCAGAACCAACTCACAATAAACAAGACTTTGCGGACGCGAAAGAGTTTCGTCAATTAATGCGAGCCATGGCCGACCACTTGATGCAGTACTGGGACGACTTGGCGATTGAGAAAAATGGAAGTGAGGACACGAACAGATTTTGGAAGAGTTTTGGTTATCTCTCTGCTCGTTGGAGAGATCCACCTAGCGATGATGAGAAGTACGCTCGTAAACGTTACTCTTGCGTTTCTCTCTGTGTTCAATGTGGTGAGTTTCGAGATTCTTACTTCTTTTAGGTTAATTAAATAAAGGGAATCGTCATAACCTCATTTCCCAATTATGATTCCATAATATCTCCGATAGTTTTGAGCTCTTCTCTGCTCTTGTAGTCTTACTCGCGTAGCTCCTTTATTCGCTTCCTTTATATGCACCTTTTTCACACTTAAGGCGTTATGGAGTCATTGTTTCATAATTTGGAACTTAAAAGGGAACCGATTTTGCGTCCAAGGGAACATTGTTTTATGACAAATGTAAACATTGTAGGACTGCATCATTTGCATGTTTGTTCAAAGTACTTTGCATACAATCGAACGTATAGCTCGTCCACTCCCTCGCCGCAGTTTCCTACTGCATACTTCTTTAGTTCCTAACTGATGAAACTTCTTTCCACTCTACAAAGAATCTAGCCATTAGTATTAAAACGGGGACGATTCCGTGGCTATGGTGATAGTCAATTATTTACATGTTGGGAATTTTTTGGATGCATTTTGGGTTCCTCTTTTTTGCGCGTGAATTAGTTACACTGTTCTTTTTCTCAGACAAATGTCTCAAATGGAGGGTTCTCCCATATTCACAGAGTCAAGTGGGTCGTGATGTTCCTGACAATTGGCAGTGCCGAGACAATCCCGACCAGAAACATCGGAGGTTATGCTTCGTGCCCGTTTATCTCAGTGCTTTGTCAGCTACTCCAAATTCGAATCACAATTGGCGTACATTTAATATGGTGAAAGAAAATTTTTGCAATTAGTTTCCATTATTTTAACCTGGAGCTAGGCTTTTGTGCATTGCCTCCACTATTGGCTGTCACAGACCGTTATTTCGACATTTTGTGCTTGTTGTAGCTGTGAAACGCCTGAAGAGGATATGAGTCCTCTGTTGGGGGTCCTTAAACGCAAAATTAAGACTAAAGAACAGCGGCAGGCTGAACTGGAAGCTCAAATTCGCAAGAAGCAGGTAATTTTTTATGCAATATTTTCCTTGCGTGATCAAACGCCATAAGAATGACGCTGCTTCACATCATGGTTTTGGTTTCTCAAAGGCAATTATTGTAATGGGCCACTCTAGGGTTCCCCGCAGTCATGCTCACTTACAACAGGCTTGACATGGCGATGAAATGGACCACTTTGCTAAATCTCCGGTGTCGATTTTGTGTTGAGATGCTTAATGTTCTTTGACAAGATCTGAACTTGGTTACACAGGAGGAACTAGAACTGATTCTTGATCCAGACGAAGAGCCTTCTGTCCGTGGGCGCGGCAAACGTCCGTGTCGATCGTTCCCCAACTCTAACCTGCCGGCCAAGAAGCGGAGCACACGTGCTGCCTCACCACCTGCGCGCACCATTACAGTTGCTGACAAGAAGCGGATGGGTGTCTTGTCGGAACCCCAGTCAGTACCGAGGCCGACCACTCGAAAAGTGGCTACTGCAGTTCCCAAGTCCAAACCTTCTTCTACCGGCGTAAACATATCTCGTCATGCCGTAGGTTATTGTCCTTATCACATGCTTTGCGTTATTTTCCTTTTCCTACCAAGGTATTAGTGCTTATTTGTACGTGTTTGAATTATAGTTGTCTCGTCGTCCTCCTCGCCGTCAGAATGTGGATTCCGAGAATGAAGAAGTCGAAGAAATTGTTCCCGAAGGAGATGAGTTTGCTACTGAAAAATTGAGTTTAAAGACGGCAGCAGAATCAAATATTGGCATCAAAGTTAATAGCAGAAGTAATGTAGTTGCGGATACAACTGAGAATTTTAACCAAGACGAGGTGAGTTGTTTGTCGTTGAAGGGCAATGTGCAAAGTTGCGCGATACTTCAATTGTTTTAAGATTTATCGCCCATTTACAGTAGGCTTGGAAAGTCCCAACGCTGCTAAATTCATTTAAATTCTTTGAAAAGTGGCATGGCAGTATTTGAAATTCAAACACTTATTGAAGAAAATTTGTTAATGGCCAGACTTTACAGGAATTGACACGGCTTTCTGCGATAATGACTACTTCAGGTCCCTTATAATCATTTCTTATCAGCTGAAGCTGGTGCGTTAGTACCCAATTTATCAAAAGCTAACCAAAATCTCATCTCTCCGCTTCGTTGGTGCTTCTCACTATTGTTTTACATATGATGCAGAGGCGTGATTTAGTTTATTCATTTGTTGGTTATTTGTTCCTACCTGAGGTTTAAGCCGCATCCAACCACGAAAAACCCAAATGATAAGTGTGGCAAAGTGTATTACTGAGGTATCCAAACTTTCGTCATATTTTTGCTCGGTGCGATTTGTTTTTTCAAGCGAGTAGCAAGATTTAGCTTTCATATATATGGCGATATGATCACCACATCGCAATTCGGTTTCAGTTGAATTCTTGTGGCGAATTCGATAATACACTGAAGGAGACGTCCGAGAGTGTTGTCGAGCCGTCTTTCCTTTCAAACGGTTCTCCCAAAGAATCATCCTCTGAAGCCATAGCAAAGTGGTAGGTCTCCTTATTCGTGTATTTCCATCCATTGAATCGTATCGTTGTAAATGATGTCTCATTGACAGCCATGAAGACACGGTAGGAGAGTCAGGACCTACGGTGCCTGCCAAGGATGGGCGTGTGAGTGACTGTGAGTCTTTTTTGATTTCTACCACCATCTTTTAAAAGGGACTTTTGTGCTTTAGGATACTGCAACAACTACCAAAATCGCCGAAAAATTGAAGTGAGCAGTTCTTACAATATTTCTTTTTCACTCCATCTCGCCACTTAGGCTAATTTAGCCTTATTGGATTTCAACCTTGATACAGCTTGTTCACTTTGACGACAGTTTGATAAAAGAGCTATTTATCTAGGATCTGCTTACGTTATTTTCTTCCGCCAAAATGGCCGATGGAAAAAGAGCGCATTCATACCTTGACGGAAGTCGACTTGGCTGAATTCCCCCTTGAATCGTTCTTTGATCGATACGAGCAAGGTTTACGAGCTGTGAGTTATGCTTTTGGTATTTTATCTGCTTTGGCACAATCACGTAATTGAATATGCCTATGTTCTTCCCGTAGCTCCTTGGCAATTTTCAACAAGAAACCCAACTCATCGGAGAAACTTTGCAAAACCTTAGGGTGGACGTCGCTAGGCTCTTGGACAAAGTTGCTCCAGTATGTTTTACCATTCCCTTGATAGTCTGCATCGTCGGCATCAGTTTGCTGAGGTAGTTAGCCCTGAAGCCTAAGACCTTCATCCCATCGTTAAAGTCGTGACACCAGTTGTTTGTAGGTCCAACTATCTGGGTTTACGGCTCCCCAACGCTCATAGCAAACCTAAAGAAACTGGCTAAATAATCGTATGGCTACCGCATTTGAGTTACTGTGATGTGTGCATTGAGAAAATGTTAAGAAATTCTGCCTTTGTCTTTTTTAGGATCTTAATGCATCTTCGCGAGCCAAGGAAACAATTGACCAGGTTTTAAGGGACTACCTTAACCAAAATCCCTAGATTGACTAATTTTAAGACATGACGCATTTTATGTATTTGAAAAGAACCCCTGGGTGTACATAGCCTGTCGAAATTTTATCATGTGTATCTTATCTATCTTTTACAATTTTTACATGCGTCTGCTTTGCATCAAAAGTGTGAGTCCTCTGTACGTTTAAGAGAAAGAAACATACTGGTTGCTGAACGACAACGACTAACAACTTCTAGTACTCTAGTAGATTGTGGCCACTCGTTTCGATACGACAGAGTGATGTGCACTTGTTAAGGCATTTGCTATAAAGCAAGGATGTAAATGCGTAAGCTTCCGACTACCGGGGCCTGACACTGATGTGGAGACTCAACTACGTGTTTACAAGTATGAAGACGTATACAGCCAACATCCAAAGTAAAACAGTTGGGTGTCTTGTCGCCGTGTTTTTAAGCTCGTGGGACTGGTAATTTACGCAAACATACAGAAATAGAAGCTAATGGACACTGCTTGGAGCGTACGCAATTCAAAGTAGGGCGGAATGGCGACTAAATCCCAGAGCGGAACAAGTGGAGAATGTATAGATATGTAAATTGTATTCGCAACAGGACTGGCGAGCAATTCAGGATTCGCGTCAATTCCTTGTCCTCAAGGATTTGTAAAATATGCAACTAAAATCATAAAATGGAGAATAATCTTACCGGCGTAAATCAAAGTCACTGTGATGATGAATCCGCTAAGCTCATTTGCGAAACGTGCTTGAGCCAGCTTTGCAAAATCCTCGGGTGGGAAGCTGCCACTAATCTCTTCTAGTCCAAACATCGCGCGGGAGGCTATTTTTGCAGATACTGAGTTTGTGGGTGTTCTGCGTATGTGCTAGCAAATAAGTGAAGCAAAGATAAAAAATGAAATTAGATCTTCCTCGCCTACAACTACAATTTCCTTGAAATATAAACTAATTTTATTACCTGATAATTTGTGTATATGTTGCAAAAGCCTGCAAAGCAATATATATTTACACTGCCAATTTAAGAACCCGTTTTAGTGTATGCCATGCTTTCTTACTCAACAACCATCTGAGGAATCTGTACAACCTCCGAACCACTACCGCTTGAACAAGTGACCTTTTGAAGAAATAAGCTATAAATACCGACTCACCCACACTCCTATGTTGGTTCTTTATGAAGCGTGACCAGAACTAAACGCAACCATACCGATCGTGAAGTTTGGAATCACGCGTCGGCCAGCCACCCCCAAGCCCGCTGAATGCGGACACACGCAGGCCCGAGGAATCACGCACTGACCCTCCCCACCCAACAAACCTAATGTAAGGAACCTGCCTGACCCGGGCGCACTAATGTAACTGAGGAGCCCACATGTTGCTGAAGTCGATGTGTCTAGAGTGCGAATAAATTCCAAGTAAGTTTATTCCGACCACAACCGAATTATGTATATGGAAACAAATTAAATTCAGATGTGAAAGACCAGTGATCCTGTAGCTCAACTGACTGAACCCACGACGCTACAACGAGATGCGCTCCTGAAACTGGGCGTGGCCGGTGGACTTGGCATGCTGTTGGGCTCCCTGCTGCCCTCTCAGAGGGGTGCAACAGATGACGCATATGAGATTACAATTTGTCAGATCGGTGAACTGACCCTCTAGCTTCGCCTTACGCGCAAGTGATTGGGCCTCCATCAAAATCTATTAAAATAAAAGCAGGCATCAAAATAAAATCCGAGTTCCTGTTATTTGTATTAAGAATATCAGACTTATTGACGGTGAAATTATAAAAGAAATGTGTACACAAATCAAGAAACCAACACACTAATGAGAAATTCTGGATAATATACTGTCGATATCAACGCAGAAAATATACTTACCGAAATCTGAGTGGTGAGGAATATTGTCTGAAGCGTCCCGAATTCCAAAAGTTCCACAGCAAGCGCATCATAGTGGATTCCATCGTAGAGAAGCAGTATCCGATGCGAATAGGATTTGTCCTCACCAAATCGATCAATGCGACTCGTAAGCACATCCACAACATCTATTTCGACTTCATAAAGCATGGAGAGAATAGAAACCTCGATCCCACCGCCCCACCTATGAGGCTATTCACAAAAAATGACTACGATTTACAAGACATAGATGATGCATTTAGAATTAAGCAAGAGAGCTGGTCGCCATGTCTCAATGGCCACCAGCACTTAGGTTTCCGGTGATGTTGTTACTCCAAAGATGTACCGGCATTTAAGGTGGATTATCTGAGTGGAGACAAAATATATGCATTTTGGGAGAGCCAAATCCCATGGAAACAAAATACAACCATCCACGTAACAATAAATCACGTTGTGATCTCACAAAACCGAATCGTTGTTATGATTCAAAGTTTTGACTAGTAAAATGGGTAAAGACAGACTGAAAAGAACATCCTAACCGGATGCCTTCTTTAATCGGTTAATTGCAAATGGAATATAACGCTGACTCCATCCATTACAATTTCGACAAACGGAAATATAAGTGATTTTTACGACGCCACAGTTCAGAGTTCTTGCGTTGAAAAAAAGAGGTTAAACTTCTTGAAGGGCAGTTCCAGCTTAGTCATGTGCTATGAGCTACCACCGCTACCAGTATGAGAGTTGATCATTGTTGATCATCTGGCTCCATCCACAACACCCTGTGAATCTTGGCAATTTCAACTTGCCTTTCAGACACCGCTGCTTCCTACAACCACAGGATACAACTACCATGGGGTTTTGAATGTCAGTACTCTCCACCCAACTCTTTAAAGTATGTTGCCGATTGCCGCCACAAAGAGCTTACCGTAACTATGGTGAGAAAGTGTTGAAATAATGACGACATTTTTTGCCCTATTTCAGGGTTAATTCAAACGAACTTAGGCTGAAGTGACGAACACAAGAATTAGCTAGCACCTTGACTGGTAATTTAAAAAATATCACTATTTGGTAACCAAGGCCACCAAACCCTTAAACGATCCGCTCATTCTTGTACAGAACATCAGAGTTGTAAAACGGCACTCTCCACATGTGGTTTCAGGAGATGGTCTCACGGACAGCGATAAAACCAAAGCAGCTTAAAGTTAAAGAGCGTTTTTTGCATCCATCCTACTGATGAACTTTAAAGTAGCATACCTCGAGGATAAATTTTGCATAATCCTTCGTGGGCATTCCGAGAATGGCTTCGCTGAAAGTAATGGGATCGTTAAGTACAGTATGGGCAATGAGAGTACGCGTCTCCCGCACGGCTTCAGCATTTGTTACAATTGGCTCATCGACCAACCAAGAAGAGTCGCGATTGCTAACGCAAAAGTTGACGCTTGTGAAAAGACAACAATCGTCAGAGGGAACGACCTTCCGAATCAGGCGGGAGGAAGACACCTTCTCGCTGTTAGGAAAAGGCGTCTCTAATGGCATCGCATCTGCCATGATGCTGTCACCCGAACATATTTTCAGCTTAAAAGAGGAAATGCTAACTTTTACTTGTCAACACTTCCTTATTATCCCGCCACGTATTAAAAACAACAAAAGTCGTGATTTATTATGAAATTGTGCCTATGAACATTTTCTTGACTGCATTCCTTCACATTAACTGGTAATTAATGGCACCATAAAACAAGAATACAATACGTTGCTGTCCCACCAAGTAGGTAACTCACTACATTAAACTATGCAAGGAATGCACTAATATTGCTACGTTGTTGCTTGAACATTACGAATCATAGCTCAGGCCCAAAAAAATACCACTCCAAATGATTCCACCGACATGAATTCACAAGTCCCTTCTCAATCCATATCTCCAAATACTTACAGCTAGTGTGGCGCAAAATAAAACTGCTATATAATTGAATGCATAAATTTACGAAAGAATAATCGGATGAAAATGAAACTAACCTCATTCAGAGTTAGCTGACCACTTTCTGAACTCAAATCAATGCGCTTGGGTGGATAACCAGATCTAAGTACCAAATCTCCGCGACTGATACCTGTAGAGGCGACTACTTCGGTCACCAAATCTTCGAGCGTGGGATCACCTTTCAACACAAGGACTGACTGTCCCCTTCCCGATTTGCAGCGCAGAACTACGCAATTCTCACCATTTGGTTCCTCGCTTTCGCCTCTGTTGGCCACGTCAGTCTGTGGAAAGTCCATGAAACAATACGATGCCTTCCCAAATGCAATCGCTAAATATAATATGGAGGTACGTAAACATGGACCGATCAAATTACTTTATTCACCAAGTTTTGAGTATACAAGATCAATTACATCTGGATGGAGGAAAGCAGAAACGATCTTTTCGATATTTGTTTCGGAACTTTCAGATGATAAAGGCAATTTATTTGAATCAGGAAGAATGTCAACAATGTCGACTGCAGATAGAGTACTCCAGTTCAGAATTGAATCACTCGTTAACTGAGGTGAAGATGTGTTTTTTGGAGATGGACAAGAAACGTGATCATTAATACATTCCACCAAATAATCAAACCAATTTTCTGAATTAGCAAAGGCCCTCTCAGCCTCATGCAAGCGGTTAATAATACCACTGCCATCAGGAGCACACTTTGTTAAGGAAAAGCATGCAAGTTGAGTAAGTGCCTCCTTGCAACGAACTGTGTTATCCAACAGCGGTTGATCTATCCACAAGTTCACGGAACAAGATATATCGTCCTCTACTGTTTCAACAAAATGCCACCAATGGCGAGGAACAAAGAGAAGATCACCAGATTGCAGAGTGACTACTCTCGGATGAGCACTTAAAATGAGAGGATGCTTAACAAAATTCAGGCACCTGAAATCAATGCGACTAAAAACAGTGGACTCCTCAAATGGAAGACGAGTGGCATATAGAAAAGGAGTATCCGTAGGTGGAAACAGAATCCAGCGCTTTTTTCCGAAAACTTGAAGCACAAAGTTTATACCATATGTATCGTAATGACACGGAGTGTGGGACTGGTCGGTACCAAGCCAAAATGTCGAACTACTATTGCTTGGTAAGCAAGGGAGGATGGAGTTCCAGGGGACATCATTTTGAAGCGATGTAAGAGCTGATGTCGTCCTCATGTGCAGATAAGCAGCATATGCCCACCACTCATTCCGTGGATAGTCGCTAAATACAAAACTGTCATTTCCACGGCACCACGAAACGAAATCACCAATGCTAGAAGAGACATAACGGGCGTCACACTCCCATTGAGGAAGCAAGTCAATCGTATTCCTGTGACCAATCCGAAAGCTTAATTTCTCTTTGATTACCTCGGCTAAATAATCTGGCGACCAGTTCAATACAGCGGGCCAGAAACATGCCGCTTTGCGAGCAACCAGTGGAACGTTGTGACAGACAGGAGGAACGGTATGAAGTGCTTCGTCGACCATTACCTAACATTACCGAATCTCCAAAGAACAATACAAATAAAATATGATTGATGTCGACAGATAAATCGTAAAGAATAGTATGAACCCACGGAGAATAAAAATGAAACATTTTTAATACGTAGTGAGTGGCGATTCATCATTCTACCTTAAAAAGACGAAATAGCTAGAGCACCTAAGTAGCACACGCCTAACCTAATTAGGAGGAATCTCCTTCTATGAACGAAAAGTGAGGACATGAATTACAGAAAATCTCAAATTATTGCTTGCATAGAATTTGTACAAAAAGGATGCATCCGTGAATCTAAGCGCATGGAAAAGCATAGGGCGAAATCGAAACAAATATTGGAGGGATCATAACGACTTCATAAAGGCGAATTAAACGAAACATTAACAAGTACAAACGTTACGGCGCACACTGGCGTTTGGGAACCAGACAACCGTAAGTAAGGGCTAACGAAGGGTAACACAGGAAACTGAGCAAAAACATAGCGCGCATAAAGCGATAGTTGGTGAGACCAATAAAGACAAGCTTATCGTCGGTTAAAAACGTAACTTTGCGTAAATCAAATCCAAATCCTCCATTATGCAAACAACTAATCAACGAACATTCGAAAGAGATGCGTGTGAGTTTAAAGTGTAACGGTTTTTCGCACAATATTATTCGATACCAGAAAGCGAAGGCAAATATTATGTGCTTCGTGTGGTTCGAGATTATAAACGATTATTTAGAAGAATTGGTTTATTATTAGTTATGCTTTTAGTTCCCATAAGCTCCAGATATTCAGTCAGCTGTAGTCATTTTAATGCTTATCCAAGAAAAAGGTATGTCTTTCCGGAATGAGCGAAGGGTTATATGTTCTCCTTTGTTTTGCTTTTTTGACGTCTTAAAAGGTCATTTGCATTGGTGTCTTTGATGTGCAGATCGCGAGTGTCGCTTAGTTGTCTTATGTCATTTAAGTTCATGGATTATTGCTTGTGTTTTTTAGAGTCAGCTTTATTTCAGTAGTACGTGCATTTTTGGCCATGCTGACTGGACAATATAAATGGTTTTTGTAGTACGCCATGATTGAGGCGTTCAAACTGCTTCTTACAACTAACTAGTTATTTGGTAAATGGATTTCCTGATTGAACACATTTCACTCATGCCGCTTGGTATTATTAAGTCTTGTCTTTGCTACCTTCCTTTAAATATTACAGACCATCTAATCACATTTGGTCGATTTCTGGCTTGGTTACGTTTTTTTTTCTTACAGACACCTTTGGTTATACATGAATCCACATGGAGAAGTTGGTGACGGTACTACTCGTTCTCGGCGGAAATACAGCAGGGGTTCATGCATATTCCATCCAGACGCAGTCACGGCGAAGGCGATTTCGAGGATTAGTCAGGGTGTGGCACGCTTGACTGCGAACGATAACGGTGAACGATCTTCAAAATCAATTGATGTAATGTTAATGATTTGAACATTAGTTTGTTCTAGGTGGATTCACAGCATGGCGAAAAATCGAGATTCCTTTGGACTAGGAATAATGACGTCAGCTTATTCATTGGTGATTTGCCAAGCGATGTTCCTGCTTCATTTGGATTATGCACACAACGGTAGAAATATGAGCATCGTTGATATGTTTTTAGAAGCTTGGTGTCTCGAGTCAAATTGGCATTACCTGCGTTGAATGCTGGTAGTAAACGGAGCTTTAGTTACGTCCTTGGGTCTTCTCGGCCAATTAATGTGAATTCGTGTACAAGTGCATTACGCAATTCCCGAAATGCGTCATTGAAACCACGATTTTCCTATCCTCCACACTCTGATGTGATGTCGTCGGGCTCTTCAATGCTTTCGATAACTCCCCCTAGATCGGAGCCCACTGCTAGCTCCTCACCTGTGGTAACCAGTTCTCCGGATGAGTCACATGTGTATTGTTTCCAATATATGCGCCGTCGACGATGGCGAAAGCGACGTAGGGAATGGTGCCACAGAAAGCGAGAATCTCACTCGGCCGGGGGCACTGACTGTCGGTGGAACAGTTGGCGAAATCCTGCTCCCTCACTTGGTGAACTGAGTGAAGGACGAGGCAGTGTCCACCGTATCTACCGAAAGTGTGATATTTTGGACTCAAATGAAGATTCTTCCGAGGAAGGGCCACTAAAGAAAGCAAGAGTTGCAGGAAATGTCTTTGAAAGTATGCACCGTCGTAGATGTCGTTGCGATGGGCTCCTCAGAAGGACGGCCTCATTGTCACCGCGACGGTCTTATTCCCGATCTTGGTTGGTGCAACACGAAAATATGGTGGTCGAAAATAAGAAGTATCGTAAGCCTACCGAATTCCGCAAAAGTTTATTGACGACTCGAACTATCAAGAAATATTTTACCAAGTATAATGACGAGTAAGGAGATGATGTTTTCTTAATCGATTGAAGTCGCATCACTTGTAAAAACTTGATTTTGACACTTATTTTAAGTGGAAATCGATCATCGAGGCCTTCTTGGTACAAGCTTTTGAACGACCGTTCCGATGACGATGAAGAAGGTAAATTTTGTCGTGCATTTAATACTCATTGGTGCGAATTTCTTGCTTATTTTGTAGCCCAATAGAGTAGGGTCCATTTGCACAAAGTAAAATGCTTTGTTAAAGCAAAACTCAGCACTGGTAATCCTTCTGTGCTTAGAACTCGTGACAACTACTATAAGGACTGATTAATGAAATTCCTGGTGTTAATGTTTGGCTTAAGAAGGTTAAAATGTCAGACGTGGTTTTTGCAAGCAGTTACTTGCCATCGATCGCAAAATCTGAGCCGCAATGATGCCTTCTACACAGCTGTTACTAGTTTTTGATTATGAGTAGGAACTGTAGAATGTCGGAAGTAGCAGTTCTTTCTCATACCTTCCTATCTATAAATTTCTCGTTGAAATGCGCGCTACAAGGTTGCACTTTTTAAGTTTTACCTCTAGAGGACTTCCTTAGTCCTCAATGATTGCTGAGTGCATTTTTTAGGGGACGATGAATGCAGCGATGAGACACCGGAGCGGCAATGACGTTCGAGCTTCCATTCCTCCTCCCAACTTGGATTTAAAATACAATTTTGTTGGCTGTGCTTGCTGTGAAATGAAATTAGTTTATTTTTATTGCATCGATAAATGACGAAACTTTGGGATAGCAGCGGTGGGGCTAGTCCAATGGTTTTCGGTGGGGATCGGCTTGACTCTATATGAATGCCTTGCAGGGGGTGGAGGGCGTCTTTCGGGTTCGGTCGCTGATGCGAAGCTCTTCTGATCGGGACTTGGGTCTTTTGTAGTGTGAGATGACACGTTGCAGTCGGTTTGCTCAGTTACTGCATTGACAACAAATTCGATAGGATTAATGAGCGTGAGTCAAATGAAGCACATGCTTTTGTGGCATGTTTACGTGGTCATAACTCGGATCGGCGAGCATTTGATGGATTGAAAATTTACGTAATTACCTGATCAGCGAAAAATTAGCTGAATTTCAAAATGAGTCCTACAACTAAAGCTATTCATTAACTTTTCAAATGCTTTGCATTGAGACGATTTGTTTTAATAAGCAACATCAGGAACCAGTTGCTCAACCAATGTTCCCACAACGCAGCCACGATGCGCTTGAGGTACCAATGGCAGCTAGATGCAACCACAATTTTTATGGGCAGATGGATAAGGAACTATGCGACATAAACACTGAGTTGAAACGGTGCAGGCAGAATATGGAGAAAACTACTGGTAGGTTGTACGCCTATTACTGATTTGTAGCGGATATTTTGAAGGAGTATGCTTACACCCAGACGATTCTAAATCCAGCAACCATTGGGTTCGCAGCAAACTTGGCAGACTTTGTTCAAAAACTCAAGAGAGAGCACCTAAACTGACCTCATGACTATAATTGTGCACAACAGTCATTGCCGCGTGCTCACCTATACGTTGTTCAAGAACCTGGCATTCACTAACAGCATTTCCTCCCCTTTTGAAACTTAATTAATTTACTTTTACATTTTCTTGGTTGCATGGTGATGTGGGAGCAAAAGTGACTTTCCAACTTTTAGAGTAATTAACGACATTCATTGTCATGAATGGGAAATTTCAGTAAATCCATGTAACAGGAATCCACTGTGGTCGAGTTTGAAACTCTTCAATGCCACAATGCAGCTTTTTGATTGTTTCCTCCATGTCGTTATTGACTATTTTCATATCAAAAAAGTGTTCAAAATGCTGTTCCAGTAATTGGCTCTCCCGTGCTAAACGTTCAAGACTTCCATCCTATAATAGAAAGTAAACGTAGATAACCTAAATGCTTTGCGCATCGAGAGCTTGCTAACACTCGGGCCCATTAATGGTATAGTGTTAAATATTTGTCCATTGTTTTCTCAAGGTTCTATTTTTTATTTCGAAATGACTAATTTAATTTGCAATGATAGAAATGCTTAAAAATTAAACGTTCGTTCCACTTACGTTGGGACAATTTAAGTCGGAGAAAATTGTGTTGAGATCAGGCGCCGCAATGAAGATTACACATGGAGCGAACTCGGCGGTTCGTAATACTTTTAGTGCCTGGGGTTCCACATCAAGAATGGCGATCAATCCAGCCGCATGTATCTGCCTGATTGTATCCAACTTAGTGCCATACATAGCCTGTTCATGGGTACCATATTCAAGGTATTCATTATTTGTAATATCCCTCATCATTTCTTCTTGAGTTACAAAATAGTAATTCTTTCCATAAACCTCATCCTTACGAGGCGCACGTGTGGTGTCTGTAAGAGGAATGCTAATAGTCGTTTTTGAGTGTAGATCAATGTCGTCACAAAAGTTAACTCACGGGGAATCGGGTAGGCGTACTTATCGGGAGCTGACTGAATAAGACAATTCTTTATATGTCTACGACCAACTCCATGTGCGCCGAGCAGTACAAGCGTTCTTCTTCTAAAAGTGGGTAAACGGACGACTTCTTCATATGTGTAGAGGTCCAATTGGTCATACATTACTGAGTATCGAGTACGTTCACTGGATGAGCGTCCTGAACCGTGATTTCCTCGTTTCTTCTTCATAAACCACGATCCACAGTTAACCACTTGCTGGTTGCCATGTCCATGGGAGTACTCGGCTGCACGATTGGCGGCTCGCCATTCCTGAAATTCCGGACTCGGGATGAGACCCGCAGGACTTTGTGGGTCCGAACCCCAAAGTCTTGCCTATTTATAAGGTTAAGAAAGGAAAGATTATAATCTGAGTATGCAAAGAACGAAATACTGGACGTTCTCAGTACCTGCCACCAGTTATGATCATCTTTGCTAATAATCTGTAGAATGTCACCCACATGAAAGCGAATTCCAGCCTGGGTGCATGGGATTAATTCATCCGCTTCAGGGTTGTAATTAAACATGGCGCGAACGTATATCTACATTTGAATATAAAAATGGTAAGACGCAAAAGAAAAAAATTAGAAAAAGTTGGAATACATAAATAACTAGCCACCCAATCGAATTTGGAATAGTTTTAAAATGCTCTAGTCCGTGGGCTGATGAGGAACGCGCCTTTAAGTGAGAAGGGGCGAGTAAAATTACATCAAACCGGTGTAATGTAAGTAGCTCTTTTTATACAAGGCATGCTCATCAGCTGAAATGGGTCCACAAAATGGTGTACAAAAAAACTGATGATTTGAGTTTCTGTTCCGTAGCGCCAATCATTTAATCCTGAGTTCTTAAACAGAAAGTGAAACGGGGAAAACTGGAAACGGGAGAAGGGGGAAGCGGTCAAGTACTAGATACTCAACAATCTAGACATGTGCTTTTGCAAATGATGAAATCACGCCAAACATAACAATGTGCTCTTTTTAATAAGGTGCCAGAACCTAAAGTTTGTTGTACTTGTGGGGCTAGTTACAATCGGCGTAAAACCGCAAGAAAATTACCTCACACTGAATGGGATTGGTACGATAACTGGGAACGATCTTAAGGGTGACGCTTCCACGAGCTTCTCGCTGTGTGAAGAAAAATCGATAGAGGTAAGAATTTTAATTCCACAATGGTGCATTCAATCTCTTCAAATCGTCCCAATGTTTGTAGCGTTGGGCTTACCAATCGGCGCTGGAGATACTCCACTGACTTTCCAAGAACGGGTTCAGCGTTTATTTCGCGCAATTCATCCCCGACGTGTAGAGTGCCTAAACAGTTCTCATAGCTGTACCTTAACGCCACGAACATGAAATTTTCTGATCTCTAGAGCATTTACAAAGTTGTGTATACTCGCACACAACTATTTTCAGTTTTATCAGTTATTTTCGTTTAAATATACGACTGTTTGGGGAGTAGAAAATTTGTTTTTAAAATACGAAGCTGTACGGCACATTACAGCAAAACTCAAGCATCATTATACTACTGATTTCAAGACTGCAGAGTTGGGACCAGTCTCTCAGAAATTTTAGAAACCTAGCAGGAAGTGACTTACAAATTTACATTTCAGCATAAATGGGCATTTGTGACTTCTATGAAAAGTACAAGTGGATGTTTAAATACCTTGCCGGTGTATCATCCCTCCATGCATTATTCGAGCAACAATGCATTTGTCCTCTTCATTTAGCTTCAGCGTGATCCCCTCGGTAAAAAAGGTATAGATAATTAGATTTGCATTAAGTTTACAGCAGGGATGATGGTCTAAATATTGTGGGTAAACATAATGAGAATCTCAATACGCTGAGCTTTATCATGTCCAGATCGAGCACAAGAAACCTGCCACCAAGATTAGTACCTGTAAGGGAGCTTGCATGACGATAGCTATTAAGGATTTTCTTATAAGGAAGGTAAAGCAATAACCAAACCATGAGAATAGACCGGGCTAGAAGCTCAAACGATGAAGGAAGAGAAATAAAGTGAATAAAGAGGAGTACTTTGCACAGTTCAAAGGAATTATGAAGCTTAGGATGGGTAAAAATTCTGGTGAGGAGTCGACGCAAGCTTACGTTCAGTGGAAGCTGATAAAGGATCTGCGCTTAGACCCGCACTTTATCAAGAAGATACAGAGCTCAACCGAAAATAACTATTGAGTGATTCATTAAACGCATAGTAATTTATTTTGTATCTTTAAGTTGAAAACACAAACATTGGGAGTAATTTCCGGGAGCACAAGATGAATCTACCAAGAGATCTAAAGATCCAAAAATGGTCAACTGCAAACGTTCAGAGAGGAGAAAATAATAATAGGTATTGCTACTAATTCGTTAAAATTATATGCAATCTATGTAAGTTTTGGAAATGAAGCTACTTAGGACAATTTAATAAGTGTACCATTGGCTCATCTGTAGTTTTCTGAAATTGGACGAGCCGAACCCTAGTTATATGATGTCCGGAGTCTGCAGGACAGTCAGCATCATCTTTCCCCCCTTCATCACTGTTTGTCGTGGACGTGCCGAAAGCGGATGTCGGTGGAGGGGTTACCCGGATTGCCGCTTCGCCGTACACATCATGCGCGATCACATCGCGAGCTCGCAGTAGAGCCTAAAATTTTTAATAATTCCAATAATTAATTCCAAGGCGTAATACTTTAACGAGTATGAGCACATAAAATGTGGTCAATTTCATAATGACCAAATTTGGCAGTGAATAAACAGTAAGGCAGTCAAGGCAAAATAGTGATATGCTGTACATGGAAAAACAATCCTAAAAACCGCTATGCTTGACTGGTAAGTATTTAACATGTTAGCAGTGTTGCTGTAGATGAACTAGAGAATTTGGCACAAATACACGACTTCTTTTGTTTACTGAGGTATTAGAAGAGGTAGTGTCTGAATAAGTGATATCATCTTTAGTTACATGTGAGTAAGGTGCTCGGTGAGCGTCTAGCGGGAAGAAATCAGTACAACACGATGAACTTTACCTCAAATTAGATAAAACTCATGCAAGTTATTGACGTACTTTTCTTCTCTATGTAATCGGTCCATGTAAAAGCCTTAGAACCAAAACCAAAGGCAGACGAAAGGGGAGCCGATAGCAGTTTCGAAATTAATATACACAAATTCATTAAAATTTGTATGCCTTCTTAGGCACCTACGACATACCGGCCGGAGCAGGTTATTTTGCTGCGAACTCGAAGCAATCTGTCAGAGCTGGGTTTTATTAATCACTTGCACGCCAGTTTTCCCATATTATGGAAAACGGCATTGATTTAAGTTGTTTATGACCAGCTTTAAATCGCATATTTTGTGTACTACTTGCCCAGTTGAGTGCCTTCAATTGAAAGAAACTTTAAAATAACAATTAGGGAGTTCACGAAGAAATTCAGGAAAAAACTAGTCATGAATTAGCTCCAAATTAAAATAATCACATGCAAAAGTAGATTTCCTTTCGGCAATGAGAAGCGTTGACAACGTACAGCCACACTCGTATTTGGGCGTAAAGTTCGCCCAAGTGGATATGCAGATTGTTCGGAGGTGATTTCAACATTCTATTTGCCCTTATATGCTAAAATGCTTATGCTTTAGTACCGATCCTATCAGTGGGTAATATAATTCGCCTTATGACTGAGCGGAGGAAATGGCTAAAGATAGTTACAGTACTCGTACAGAAAAGACAGCTCTGGAAACAGGCTAAAACAAGTATTTTAAGACAAGTTGAAGAAATGAATCTTCTAGGCGTTGATTTCACCTTTGATGCTTAAATAGTTACAAAAAAACTATCGAATCAGTGATAAGAAAGCTGGACTCGAAAAACATTTCTATCAACGACTTTAAAAGGGACGATGCCGTTGGCATTACAAGCAATAGAAAAAGTCGAACAACTTTTGTAGGCATAAGGCTGTAAAATAGCTTACTGCGTCACAACTTGATAATCAACAACCAGTATATAAAATTAATTTTGGCAATTTGGCGTTTCCGGGAAAGTATGATCAAGATTCAATTCAAATACCTATAGTGCCGATTAAAACTAATGGAAAGGTCAAAACCTTATTTCAGCAATGTTTTTCAGGCAATGGGTAATACTGACCTCACAAGAAGGCGAATGTTTGAATGAACGTACTCGAAAGTGTGGCAGAGTAAGAATGTATCTTAACTCGTCGGCATCGTGAACGAAGTCCTCGGAAACTGTTCCAGTTAGCTCATCAATAACCTAAGTCACAGATGTAAATATTTAATCGAATGCATATCGTGTATTTAAAATATGAATACGAAATGTAAGCTTGAGCTACTTCCACAAAGAATACAGTTACTTACTACAAATACCATTGCAGCGAGTGTTTGAAATTACAATTTGTTAGTTTTGATTAAATAAATGCACACCCACACTAACGAGACCGTTTTGACACAAAAAATTGAGTAGGTTTGATAAAAGCGCTAGTGGAAAATAATTTAGTAGGCAACAGTTAGCTTGTAACACCGCAGCTATAATTGATGCAAGGTGTTTTCATAAAAAGTATTTGGATTTTCATCGATGATGTAGTTGATATTATGTACAGTAGATACAAACATTAATTGCAACGCACAGTTCACTCACGTCTTGTGCCTTTACCGTGGCATTATCAGGAAGCGTTACGTTTGGGGAGAGTGGATTACTGTTTATTAAATCATAAAGCTGAAAATGAGAAAAGGGAAAGTAACCATTCTAGTTACCAATATCTACTCTAAGTGTACAAAAATTTGTAGCAAGTGTAATAATGCATTCAAGAAGGAAAGCATAAAAGCCAACAGGTCTTGCTTAAAGTGTCGTCATTTGAAGAGATCACAGAAAATATTTTTTTAGAAACACTTGATGAGCATAATGAAAAAATGTAAAGTTGGCCAACGTAAATACGATGAGTACATTACTAAGTAACTATAAAAGCCAGTGATGCGTAAGCATAATATAAAGTTTAAAAAGGAACTTTTTTTCTTGGCCAGTGACAAAGTACGTGCCAGTGATCTTTCTTAACTTAATCAAGACAATTGTCCAATTTCCTATGGAAAGGCAAACAAGTTAATTGTGTTTAATCAAACAGTTCTGCGGGATGTGACAACAAGTTTTCATTATATGTACTCAAATTTTCCTCGATATAACTCAATGATTGGTTGAGAATGGTGCCACCTGCGCATAGAGTACTAAAGCCCGATTTTATAAGTACAGAATAAAGTAATTTCGCAGCTGCAAAACGATTCAGTGGATTTTAGTGATTAACAGTATCAATGAGAGAAATCGACAACCTCCAGAAGATCACAGAGTTGCTGGTCCTGGAATGCTAATTCCTTCCATTTCATTGCCTCAGATCCAGCCTCTGTCAGACATTGCATCTCCTCCAAGCTGTCAAGTATCAAACTCACGGCTGAACAGGAAATTTCAGGCGTTAATGAGGTTTCAGGATTTGAAATGCCAGGACATAGAAAATTAAGGTACCCTTTGTGCAATAAAGGTAAACGGGAAAAACACTTTTGCGTGACTAGTTATATGCTGCACAAAGACTCTTCACAAGGCTCTATAGAAATTTTGCCTAGATTTAGTACCACTCATTGATGGCTGCATTGCCAACAGCTTCAACATTCCAATGTGGCTAAAAAAATCGCTTCAAAAGTCAATTAGATGCACTGGAATACTCCTCCACTGTATGACTAGGACCATCAATAGCTATTATTATAATTATCGCATTTTACTACCAAAAAGTAATTGTAATTTTATAGTACTTTACAAAGCTTTTGTTAAAGAGCATCCTTTTCTAAAATTACCTGCAGATGTAACTTCATCATCTTCTGCTGCTTCAAGTCCGTCAGCATCGATGTGAAAACTCGCCCATTTAGTGCTAGAAACAGCCGCCAGGATTGCGTTCTAAAGAAAATAACGAGGGATCGAAACTCAACGGCAAACGATTCCACATTCAAAGAGTTAGAGTACCGTACCTTGAGCCTGCGGCGCGCGTTAAAGTGCTTCAGCGCTTCAACAGTAGCATGGAGATGCGTTTTGGGGGCCCGTGATTTCTGCGCTATCCAAGGATGTCTCAAGGCCTCTTCAATTGTCATGCGACGATTTGGGTCGACATCAAGCAGCTTCACAGCCAGGTCCTTAGCCTCAGAAGAGACGGCATCCCATACATCCGAATTCATCTGAATCAACAAAAATTGCTTAAAGATACAAATGAGACTTTATTTCCGCAAAAGTAAACGCCTCAAGTTTATTTATACCCTCCATAAATGGCTAAAAATGGCAAATAAATTAATTAGATTTTTAACTCGTATAACAGATACGGCTTAGAACTTCTGAGCAGACGACCATTTTCCTGTGCAACAATGAATTTCATCTAAAAAAGTCAAACACACTTGTCTAGTTTTCGACAGCTATAAAAAGATGGAAATGTATTACACAGCTTCAATAATGGCATGCCAATATCAGATTTACGGCCATCATTGGGCAAATGTTTAAGCAGTCAAGCTGAATAATATTTTGCTAAAGAAATTCGATTTTAAAAGTATGGGCTATAGAAAACGAGGGATATAATTCTTAAAACACATGTGCATTCGATCCGTAATTTTATACAGAAGAAACTTAAATATATGACCAAACAATCATTCGTGGTCGCCTTTGCCTCCAATCACCGTTCATCTGTACCCATCTTTATGTTTCAGCAAAACTGTTGAAGAATACATGTGCACGAGCACGGAGACGAGAGTCAAATCAAAAGCAAAAGCATCACACTACACCCTGTATTTAGTTCAATGGAGGTATTTCAGAATAAACTAACTAGTTTGATTTCACCGTGAGTTAAACGCAAAAGTTTTCCGAAAAAAGTAATTTCCAGACGTTGCATCTAAAAACAAAACAATCTCACCAATGGACACGTCGTACACATTAACAGTTTCCGAGGTAAATGGATACACTCTCAAAATATCACCTTAATAAATTTCACAACTGTAGTAGGCAAGGCAGGTTTTCGACCTCTGTACAACTATTTATTACCTAAATAGGTAAGCATTTCAGCTTTTAATTATCCAGCTGTAAGTAGCGCAGTGAAAAGTTTTATTAAACTCACCTTTCTAGTCCAACGGAGCAACTTTATTAAATAATAAAGTTAAATAAGTGACTCGCTGGACGATTAATATCAGTCGGATGTTTTTTAAACAGCAGTTTTTTCCACAAATCAAATATGAACTTAAAAAATCAGACAGGTCGAAGGCACGCCCACCTTGTACGTGACAAATCCATCTATTCATTCACATCTCGAAACAAGTGCGATCCTTTATTAGCAGCTATTCTCATATATTATGTAACTCCGCATAAAACGGAGGTAAGTGAATCCGCTTCACGCTTTTATGGCCGGGGAATCATTCAAGTATCATTCCTCTCGCCGAATCATTCGATCTATTGTTATCAAAACCAATCGAATCGAATTCAGTTAGTTCATTATCCTTGATGGCTACGAAATGGAATATGGCAACACCAACACTTGCTCATCGCTAAGTCAACTATACATGCAATACTTTGAAAGTTGGCTTAACTTAGTTTTAGTTTACTAAACTACATATCTCGGAATGATGTCCCCCAGACCATGTCAGTAGTCTCAGATCTTCCACGTGTCAGTAATGCATTTCCAGTTATGCTATTATCGGAACACATTTTAGGAAAGTTCCAAAACGCTAAGTATGTGCGAAAACTGGGTATGTACAGCTCCCATGGTAAAGGGTAAATGACTGCGTAAACTTGCCGCAAAACACGTGCAACTTTGAAACTTAATTCGACTCGATTGAAAGAACAGACCACCACAGGTAGGGGAAACAATAGAAATGACAATGTGGAATGCCATATCGATAAAACAGCAAAAACGACTCGTGCGATGTTATACTTAAAAATGTACGAACTTTGGCCATTTGATGCCTTAGGCGAAAACAAATCAAGTTGCTCATTTTTCAAAACTGAAGACCAATGACATTAATGGCATAGGAAGGAGTTTTTCGATTATACTGTAAGAAGCCTGCTTTTATAACCCCACAGCTCGAATACAATCCAGAAAATTTTCATGCAGAGTACATACCCTATATTGCCCATTGAGAATCTGTGAGTAGAGAGTCTCACGAGTTCCATAGAAAGGCAGTGAGCCACCAAGAAGAACTGATAGAAGTACACCACAACTCCACGCATCCACAGGCTTCCCATAAGGTTCATGACGCAGCATTTCCGGACTCATATAGTGTGGAGTCCCAATGCGCCCTATGGAAAAGACTTCCCTTGTTATTAAATCTGCACTTGTTGAAACTATACTACTCAATGAAATAAACCAAAATGAATCTAAAAGTGGAAGCGGAACCTCCTCCACATTATTATATACAAGCGGATGATTAAAGAAATAATTCGCCGTTCCGTAGATTATTTTATTAGTAGAAAGGCGGATAAAACTGCTAGAAAAATGTGGACGTAACTGAGGGACTGTGCGAATATTAATGTCCTTACTCACTCCCGATGACAAAAAGGATCAACTCCAATGAAAGCATGAAAATTGGTTTGGACTTTTTTCCATTGTTGCGAAATTCTTCATAAGCAGACTAGAAAATTTTATTATATCTATATATTAGCAATGGAGGACAGAAGCAACCAAAGTGGTATACTAAATGGTTTTGCCGATACTTAGAAATGAATATCTCCCAAAGTTCAAAAAGAATAAACAATGTCGCAAGCAGAAACGGTCAGGACTAATGGGAGGAGATTTTAATTATTTCCAAATGCTATGACAATGAAAATACGATAACATCGGTATTTTTGAATACCAATGAATTCAAGCATAACAGTTGAGTCCGATATTTATGCACACACGTTGGATAAGAGCTCTCCAATCAAATATTTAAAAAATGAAATCAATTTTACAATGAAAGATTAAGGTGCTCAGCCCAACACTCACAGCAAGACAAAACATGTTTGGACAAAAAATACTATGTTAAACTAATCTACCATTAAAGATAGAATTTAACAACTAACACCTTAATAAGATACAGTCTTACCGACCGCCTCTGGCACCTAATGTTTAAATAATCACTGCCATGTGACTATAATTCCAACGTTACAAAAATCTCCTGATAAGATTCATCATGGTGATCTGTGTTGACTGGTGCCACATAAGTGCGTCCTACAGATGGGCTTAAGTATTAGAATGACCTCTTTCCAAAAACAAACATGTTCATAAGCTTAGAGAGGATAGATTTTAAAACGGATTGAGAACATTGAAGCGTTAAAAAATGCAAGTTACCACATTGATCAAGCCGAAGAGAAACAAAGATTTCTTGATCCACGGTAAATGGTGCACCTAAAAATAATTAACCAGGTATCACAGATCTAAATAAGACGAGGAGGGAACGCAGAAACTCGAGCAGTGAGAATTCCACAAAGTGGGTAAGCAATATTAATGGATATTTGGGAGGGTCAGAACGGAGCTACAGATTCCACGATGTTCAACTTGTCACTGCTTATCATGACCATGATGTTTTCGCAAACGAAAACTTTTGCCAATACAATGATTAGTTGAATTCACTTGTAGGATATATTCGTCGATCCTACAGCCTTATAGCTAGGGAACCCCTAAATTAAGATCAAGTATTGATTTGCAATTAGAAACTGAACGTAAAGCAATGTTGATTCTACAGAACAAATGACACAAGGAACAGCTAGGATTCAAATCACTCACTGACAACACACGCATGTGTAAAAAAAAGATACATTGATATGAAAAAGAACTGCCATTGCTGAGGTTTAATTATGCTTAGTTAGATAAAATATTATTTATCAGTACCGAAAGACACCTTTTTGGTATTGTTTGTAGAACTCACGGCTCAATGGAGACATGGACTGGTTGCATACACAGTGAAAAGAAGACCAAAGTTTCATTTAAAGTATTAACATACCATCGGGGAAGCAGTCGATATCGGGATTCAGCTGATCAGCGATTCCAAACCCTCCTATTTTGGCAGGTGCTGAATTTTGCTTATTAGCCAGAACAACGCAGTGCGGCTTCAGGTCGCGATGAACAACATTGTTCTCATGACAGTATTTAATGGCTTCGAGGACCTGCCTCATATAGTGACTATGGCCAATAAATTAAGGTCACGGTCATCCTTAAGGCCAATATAATACAGTGTTTTTGGTGATTATTCCAGCTTCAGAACTTCTGATCGATTAGCAAGAAATTTAGAACTACATGTTCTGAAGTAAAGCAACTCCATATTAAGAGTAACTCGAAGTTGTGCCTATTGACGAACTATGGTAAATAGCACTTGATCAACATATTCTCGGAAGTTAGTCAGTAATCTTTGGTGTCATGTAATACTCAGGTCATATGTGAACGACTCATTTATGAAATACTTAGGCTTAAAGCTGATGTTACTTACCCCCACAAAACACAATATGACTGTGCTTGAACCATGCAAGACGGAAAAATTAGTTTGACTATTCCTCAACGCCCTATCCTATAAATTCGTCCGGTTGAAATTTGGATCTTGAAAAATGGAGAAGCTAGCTGGCGCTACCAAAGAGGCATTTCATATAAAAAATTTCTCCAAAAACAACACCCCATTAAGCAATAACTCGGCCCTTTTACGTGCATCAATGCATGCCATTAACGAAATGCTTAAAATGCTAAAAAGTAAATCGGTTTTGGCTATGCTTAACCACTGGTGATAAGACTTAACGCGTAAAAAATGGTTCAAATCCTGATGTTGAGTCCACTTGCTCAAAAGTGGTGTATAAGAGCAATCATTACACACGTTTAATCGAGATCCAACTTACCTTGCGACAGCCTCGCTGTAAATAAATCCAGCAGTGGCTCTTTTAACAATTTCATGACACAAGTCAGCTCCTTCCATGCTTAACAGAAGACAAACGTGAAATTGCACTTACAAGGAAGTAGAGTTGTGTCGGAACAAAAAATTTAACGTACTATTCGAAAACCATATAGAGCATTCCATCACTGCTATAAGTTTCGATAAGCTCAACAATATGGGGGTGCTTGAGGAGATGACAAATACTGGCTTCACGTTTCAGGTCTAAATAAAACAACATTGAGCATTAGAAAAAAGCTCAAAAATCTCAAAAGCGCAAATGAATTGTTTAAAATGTGCATCCATAAAAAAGAATTAAAGGAGCGGAAAGGAGCTGCTAAAGTACAGTTATAAACAAGCCAACAGGTTGATGCAAACACTTCTCAGCAGAAAGCGAATGATGGCAAAATTCCCTTTCAAATCAAAATATAGGCTTACCACTTTATCGATAAAAAATTGGTTACCTGCCGTCGACAAACCTGGGCTCCCAGTAAATTTTGTAATGTCGATTATTTTTACGGCGAACGATTGCCCACTCTCATGATGAACGCACCGACGAACAACGCTAAACGGTCCTCTGAAATGTTAATCAATATATAAAAATAACAGAAGGGGTATTGCCACATGCCAAACAAAACACAAAACTGCTATTTAAGTTGAATCACCCAACAAAAATAAAAATATGGCTACCCATGCTTTGTTTTAGACAATAAAGTAAATCTAGCATAAGAAAAAACTGCACAGATATAGCAGCCCCCATATAAAAGAAAAGCCAAACTTGCCAACCAATTTCTTAAAACTATTAAAACCAAAAACAACGTTAAAAGTAACTTGAATTAGAACAGTTCAACGCTATTACTGCCACAAAACTGTGGACTTCACAAAGTACCCTGAACATCAGCACCGTCCCGTCACAGGGCTTACGTCAATTTGATGCTCATTGGTTAGATAAGTAGCCACACTTACTTGCCAATTATTTCGCACAGTTGGTAGGTGTCGTCGAATAACACGTCTTCATCACCCATTGTATTTGAAAGAACCTAAATCGACCGTCGGAATAAACACTAGTGAAAGAAAGAGACGTATTCGCACTGCAATATGTAGAAATAAATTGGTCGATTCAAACGCTCTAGGTCAAAATTTGGTAGGAGGACTTTTTTTAACACCGTACCATTAAGCTTAAATAAACATTTGTTAAACAATTTTTAATTTACGAAACCAAAGCAAGTATTAAATTATTGTGCCGCATGTATTAAGGATCCATTTTAATTGGATCTCGTCGAAATACACTTAAAAATGATGGTATTTTCACGCCTAAGTAATAATTATTTAATCATTAGTGCAGCGTTAATAGACCACGTATCAAGCACAAATGCATTGTTTTATGCAGAATAGTGTATTCTGATAAATAATGCGGAGGGTCTTGGCATGTCACGAAGGGCATCTTATGCGTGCAAGGACAGACGAACACCATAGCAACGACCAAGCATCAGGTAGTCACATGAACAAAGCCTTACGATCAATGCAAGTGGCGCCGTTTGATTGATCGGTTGAGCTGTTGCCGGGGGGTGTCAAAAGATGCATCGTTTTCCTACGGCCTAAATTCCTCTTTTTAGTCATGTAATGTGCCTTTTAATATCCAAAAATTAGTTCTGAGAAATTAAGCTAGAGCTTGGTTTAAAGGTTAGCGCAAGAGTACAAGGGTCAGCCATATCTTAAAGTAAGCGCCAGACATCAGATGGTCACATTAACAAAGCATTACTCTGCCCGTCTCTTATATTGAACGTCGTCCCCGACGCTCACCTTGGAATACCTCTCAAGCTAGCCATTAAACACAAAAGTACTACAAGTACTCGCCTACTAACCAGCCAAACCAGTCATTAGCCTCAGCAGCTTTAACCAGACCTGGAGTTACGTTTGGAAAGACGGTCCAAATTGGGACGCATGAGCCTGCGGACCATCAATTGCTGGCAATGCAGCGTCCTGTGAGAAGTCCTCACAGTATGGAAGGAGGCAGTAAGTGCAGCTGGATACGTGTATTCCGTGGGGAACAGAGCAGCTATTCGTGAGCCGTGGTGTCATTTCTGACACCTATGCGCGGATGTAGTGGAGAAATTCTGACACAAAACTACTTTGCGTGGTGTACGTCAGTGCTGCTTCAGTCATCGATGTATTGTCTGTGATAAACGAGAATAAGGTGTGTAATGCTTTGTTTATGCGACTATCTGACGTGTGGCGGTCACTTTAGGACTTGTCTGGGCCCTGTACACGTGGGCTGGACTTCGGGTTACGCTCAGGCCCCATTTCTCCTATTGCTTTCGGAATACATGTATTCAACCCCACTTATGCCTTCTACTACCCATTGGAAGCCTCAGGACGCTACAAGGTGAAACCGAAAGTAGACGCCCTACTGAGTAGAATAAGGCATTGAGTGGGGCCAAATGCATGTATTGTAGGGATATATATGCAGAAGCGCCCAAACAATCCATCATCGTCCAAGAAGAGTTCAAGAATCCAGACCCCTTTAGTGTGCCTGTAATATTTTGTTAATGCAATAATCTGATATCTGATGGTTTGCTGGCTTTCCGCCTTGCTCTTGCACGCGTGGGTTGGTTTTCGAGCCAAGGCAAGGCACCATCTCTTCGCCTTCTTCCAGGCTACATAAACTCATCGTAACTTCATGCTTTCTTCTGCACAGTGGGTAGTCTCAAGGCGCTACAGTATCTTTACCTCCTTTGCTTGCATCCTTGCATAAGTGCCAAATATATATTCGTCAAGCAACTCTTATTGTGAGAAGGCCGAGATGGATGCCGAGGAGAGTAGGGATGAACCAATTACACCGCAAGTCATATTAGAGGTCTCATAAGCAAATTACTGCTGTTCCGATTCTGTTGATTTTGCTTCTAACAATTCAAAAAAGCAAACTGGATTATGCTGAGCTCTTCTACGTGGTTAGCTTTTCTCAATTGTGACCTCTGTGATTTGCAATGACTTTGGCCGTCGTGTAATCCTAGACGGCTCATAGTCTGTGATGTCTCGTGACTTCCAATTCGGTAAAATGAGGCACTAATTAGGCTTGAAGAGGGTAAGTAGATTTTATTTGGCTTGTCTCGAACCCCATTCAATGCAAGATGACTGCCCAAGTGAGTGTCAATAATACAACCATTAAAATGGAGAAAGTAGTAGTGCAAAGTCGATCGTAAAAGAACGCCAGTAAAAATTACTATATTGGCTCTGCCCTTTGCTTGGATTTGTTCACCTATTGATCGCTTTTAAACATGCTACTCGCGTGCAAAGCACTTCTTTAAACATATCACTGATTTAATTCATAAAAATTGAAGCGAAAGAACATCCATTTACGATATATCTCAAATCAATGTCTCATGGAATTTGAAACTAAATTGTTGTTTATTGACGAATTTGTCAACTTATTCTCACAGTAGCACTATGGCAATTTCTGATTTTGTTTCTGCTCAACGCATATTTACTTGAGGCCTTCTTACCCTGCATAGTAAATCTTGAAGAACATTTTGGCCGTACATTCGGAAGTACTTGCATGTGTTTAGCAGATCATGTTCCATCATATAGAGAAGGTTTCTATCATCATCTGAAACTTTTGCTTCATCTACCCAGTTAATGTTTGCGCCAGCGGCTGCTGTAATGCGACCCTCGGGATCAATGTTTAGGACCAACTTTAGGTTTGTAACGAGTTGTTTGTTGCACATTTTAATAATAGGGTGCGAAAATGCCTTGTCTAACCGCTCTTCCATGGGTTGTTTCATGTCTTCGATGGAATCATAGTGAAAAAAGTTGATACCGGTGAGGGCTATTAGAGTTATAGCACCAATGCTCCATACATCCATTTCCTTTGTACCGAAATAGTTATATTCATCATCAGTGGCTGATTCCAGCGCGGGACCCTGTTCCGAGGCAGCTATAAGTCTTTTAAGGGCTTCCGGAGCAGTACAACTTTGGCATGTATTTAAAGGTTCGTTTAGAAGGTATGCGATTTCTTTTTTGACGCTTAGGTCAGGCAGAACAACTAGTGAATGAGGGGATATGGTTTGAAATAAAACATTTGTTGGTTTCAGGTAACCATGACTATATCCCTTGTCGTGAATAAAATGAAATGCCTGAAATAAGCCGTGCAGGATGATAAGCACATCGCGAAACCGAATAACATGCTGCTGCAGCATCCAATTAAAGATGTCACCAAAAAGACACATTTCAGAAATGACGACAATCCGTTGCGGCTCAGACACAAAATCAAGCATTTTCATAACAGCGGGATGAGATAAAGACCTTATGCAAGCTGTTTGCTTTCTTAATTTGGTTGTGACTCGCCTCTGCAGGTGAGCTACGTGAGTAAAGTAATTGCCAAGGTGACTATAGTCCGTTTTCTTGATTGATACGGCTCCACCAGAAGTCAGGTCACGCGCCGCAATTACAGTAGAAAAACCATCATAATAAATCTCTCTGTAGATCAATAATTTGTCCTCATCGAAGGCTGGTGCAGCCAATGAGATGTTTCCATTGGAGTTTTCCCCATGCTCGAAGCGATATGGAAAGAGCGCATGACTCTCCATGTTGAATAAACAAATCCAAAAAAATCAATAGGACTGCTGAAAGCATATTGCTACCTTACTGGTACACCGTTACTCCGCAATAAAACATATGCTTTCTAAGAAATCTATATTGAGTTGTTAATATTTTTGAAGAAGACAGCGTAATTAAATCCTGACTAATTCTCGGCTGACAAAACCCACTGTAAAAGTACATTAAAAGAGGTAAATAGCTAGACATTAGCCCAACGAGTAGCAACATGTATAGTTTCAGGATTTCTGCCGTTCGAATCCCTCATGACTGACCCATCAGAATCCTGTTTCTTTTCAAGAGCTTTTATGGGCATCTATACGACAACGCAGCGGATAAAGCATAGGAAAGCAGGACAACGTGTTTATTCACTCAAAGAGGTGGATTCGAACCTCTTTGGTTGCAGAACCTTGTTTATGTGACTATTTAATGTCTGGCGGTTTCTGTTGTAGTCTTTCCCTTTTAGGCATCGCCTGGCCCTTGGACCAAGCCAAAGCCCAGTTCCTTCTTATCCTCCGACTAAACGTGGATTCTGCTCGATGTAGTGCCTTATTCTACCTAATGGGAGTTCTCAGACCGTTCCAACCTTGTCCCGCTTTTGACTCATAAGGCGCCTTCTAACAATGTGCATGTAAGTCTTTGTTTATGTGAACATCGGATGTCTGGTGGTTACTATGGTACTCGTTTGGTCCTTGTACGCGTGGGCCGGCCTTGGGACCAAGCTTATGCTTGATTCATTTTCTTTCCAGGAGTGCACATTGTAACTCAAATCACTGTCATCTCGAGACGCTACATTGAAAATGTAACCTTTTCGAAAGACTGGAATTTTTGAATTTTTGCAGTCGCCAAAATGGAAATAGTTTTGCATGAAAGACTTCGTACCCCTTTGCCTAAACTCCTTTTTCTGACCTGAGGAACATGTTCTAGCACTGCATGCTATTCTCCTATAATCATTCATTGTTCTTAAATATTTAGGTGCATTGAACATTTTACCAACCCATTGAATATATTATTATATATATTATATATATAATCCTATCTATGCATCTTCAATTGTCGCCCATAGCTGCACCTGCCTGGGGTTCGGTGCATCATGTCAATTATCTCTCGTCTTGAAGGTCAGCGTTTATGTGCAAGATTTGCATACGCAACTGCCGATCTGTCCCTTACGTGCGCTTTCAGGGTTTTGTTCGTGGCGTTATTTGGATTTTATTCGTAAGCTTGCTAAGACTTCATTGTGAACTTAGGTGTAAAGTTACCTTAGAAGGCAATTTCTCTTAACATGCTATAAGTTAGATTCGTTTGTGTTTCCTGATTATTTCATAGCATAGAAGTTTTCTGCCCTACATAATTTTATCCTTCCCTCAGGGTGCTTTGATGTTATCATAGACTTTGCTAATTGAAACACTGTTTGACGACTCCTATTACTACCTATGTGGTTAATATTTGAAAGGAATTTTGATTTGATGGAGCAAGCTTGGTAAGAAACATGCTCCTCTAATGATATTATTTGCGTCCCCAGAGTCGTGAACTATGTTGAATGGAACTTTAAGCAGGTTTCGTGTTTCTGACTTTTCATCAGAGCTGTACCATTGCGCCTTTTGTTTCATTTGTGGACCAAATAAGTGGCTGGTTCCTAGCTTTTATTAAGAGCACATAACACTTAACTCTATGCTGCCTGCTGTTTGAATGTGACTTTTGTCAATTACCGACGCTTACTAGGAAAGCTGCAATGAAGCTGTTTTCTCTACAAGTTCTTTACAAAGCCGACACGAAACCGAAATTGCTGCAGGGCGCTTACGAGCTCTCTAGCTTCAGCTTTTTTCAGCGCGGTAGTGTTCAAGAATTTCTGGATTTCACTGCAAAGCTAGTCTGTGAAAGAACAGCAGTTTGCAGTCGGGCTGCTGTGCATGAAAATGGCAAGTGAATTCATTTATTACCTCCAACTCGGTCTATATTTAGTAATTATTTCATTAACTTTGCTTAAGTATGTTTGTGTTGGAGTTATTGAACTCATTTTTTTACGCGAAAGTGGAGTCATCCGTGTCTTTGACCAACTTATCACTTAAATACCTTTTTTGGAATAACCTTTCACTCTGTGGATCGTGTCTGCAGTTTGCGTATCCTACTATTTCTTAGGTATGTAGTGACTTTGGATGTGGGTTGCGCTGGAAGAAACTAATGCTTATAGTCCTAATTTTATTCATTCTTCCTCCTTAGAATATTTTTGCCACATATTTGTTCGTCATGATAAGCTATGTGCGGTTGTCTTCTCCGACCAGGAGTACCCTCAAAGAGTGGCGCAGACGCTACTAACGAAGGTAACACTAATTGTTTCCATGTCTGGGATACCAGCTATTAAACTTTTCACGTTTTTGAAACCGTATTTAACTCTAGTTTCAATGCTTTTTGAGAACAAAATTTCCTTCAGCAGACCCAATCTTCTCACTTGGAATATCGTTACAATGCAGCATTTTGTTGCTGAATCATTTGGAATTGTTGTAATATTATTTTATGGCGTTGACATGCCACAAACTTTTTTCTAACTGAGGACTTCATACTGCTGTATATTTTCTAATGCTTATCCATTCGTTTGGTAACTAAGTTTCTCAGTAACCTATTTGTTCAGTGTTTTTTTGGTTCTATTATTCGTTTTCAATATCCAGGTTGGAAGAGGTGCTAATTTTACTAACTTAGAGTCACATTATGTCTCACCTCTAATCTCCTGAAATACGTGTACCTGTCTACTTCTCGTTCAGCTACCTGTCCTTGTGGTGCTACATTGTTAAAAAATTTCTGCTTAAAAACATTTGCATTGACATTGTTATCACTTATGAATAAGACACTAGTTGACTTCGGTACCACTATTCATTGAAGTTCGAAACGATCATGAAGTGTTTGAGGAAGGCTTCGGATGTAAACTCACTCCGGTTCCCTACCTGTTCTTTTTAATGTGGATTGCTGTTGCAACTAGTTAAGATTGATTTATGAAACTTTCCATTGGATGTAATCTACTCCTGCCTTGTGCAGTATTGAGTTGATGATGTTGCTCGCCTCGTCCTTTTTTTGTATACCATTGTTTCGTCAAAATACATCAAGCCGTTTTGAAGTGGCTGTAAGTGAACCATTATTGTGGTTCCGAAAGTTGATTGGTTGAGTTAGAACGTTCTCTGATCTACTTCTTTGGGATTTTCCAAAATGGCGTTGTATTTGTTATCGTCTTCGCCGTCTCGGTTAGTTGTCTCGTGGGGATATACTTCGTGTCAGCTGACTTCTTGGAGGCGATAAGTATACTTACTGTTTTTGCCCATCATCGTTTACCTTCTTCCATCAATTTTGCCAGTTCATTTTAAGGCCCATGAATAGTTAGATCCCTTTGAATTCTTATTATTTATCCAGTCGTTTAATGTGGAACTCCGACTTACAGTTGTGCGTTGAAAAGGAGTCTAGAGTATATAAAAACCTTCAGTATTCAAGTCTTCAAAACTCTTTCTCTCTCCACCTATCCATTTTAAAGCACGTTTAGGAATCACACTGTCAGCATGCTTGTTTTAAAGGCAATTTTCTTTTGTTACATGCAACTTCGTTAACCTCTGCCATATGGTAAAAATTTGGGCCTAGCTTTCGTTCTATTAAAATCGTCTAATCAGTTTGTTTTGCTGTTTCTCCGTGGTACTTTCGGACCGGTTTGTGATATCTCTTGCAAACCTTTCGTTTAACGTGGCACCTATACACATTTTTCACTCCACAGGCCCCTTTTTGTTGCACTTGAGTTTTAAAGTTGAGATTTATTTGCAGTCTTAAAGATGGAATTTGTAACAAATGGAGCACTTCTAATCTGATTTGGAAATAAGAATTGCAAGAATAAGTAGGTACATAAAAACCTACTCTTCACTGTCGTTTCGTTCATCCATACTAATTTTAACGGCGTTGATTAATTGAAGAATAGCATTTTAACAGAACTTTAATCAGTTGTCCCACTTATAAAGTCTCGATTTCCTTGACTTGCGCTTGCACTTTGTCTTGCATGTGGATAACTACAGTCTCATGAGTTTTTGTGGAACTGCAGAGGCTCAGACACGCCTAGTCCCACTATAACGCAGGTGGTGCTCAAGTTAATTATGCAAACGTTTGCCACGTGGCTGAGGTTGTCAAAATGCCAATATTAGATGTAGCACTGATGGATTTGTCAAGGCTCTTCAACATATGAGTGATTAGCCTCAATGACAATCAAATGAATTCTAACCAATGAGACGTATTAGTCATGTCCTTTGCTAAAATCGTGGTTATGATTTACCGATATGCTTTTTACAGTCGTTTAGTGCAACGTCAGCAGCGGATGCACTGGGTTCCATAGCCATCACTTGCCACACTTTTGTCATGTGATCCCTCGCAGCATGAATCACACGAAGCCATCGTATGCCCTCGGACTTTTTGCAATGCTGAAATTGCCTTCCATTGTAGTGGGCCACTTACTTTTTTGCTTATACTGCACACATTCTTAACCTGTCTTCCTCCGTTTATTTAGGTCTTAGAGGACTTCAGCACCGAGTATTCGCCGTCCACATGGGCTACTATGTCTGCTGGGTATGTGAGCTATTTGAGTTTCACACCTCGTTATCTTAACCGCCCTTGTTCCATTCCTACATTCTCCTCAACAATGCTATTTCTTATTTCATGTGCTTGACTGTAATAGCTGATTTGCTGGTGCTGCCTTCTTCCGACGTCATCGTCGGTCGTTGTCTGAATGCAAGCGATTTTTTACATAACTTTATTGACCCTCTTAGGATTTGGAGGGCTGGCGAAACGGTGTTTTTGGTTGAGGCGTTCACCCTTACACTAGGCTCATTTGCTGTGTTAAAGCTTACTTAGCCGAGATACTGCATTATTTAATGCAATTTTACGCTCTCCTATCATCTAAACTAACTCATCTATCCACGCAAGTAGGAAACGCTTGACAATGAAGGTGAGCAAAAGGAATAACAGTAGCAAAGGCGATTTTAAGGAATTCATACTTTAACTGTTCTTGGACATATTGTTAGGAAAATAGCTATAGACTTTGCAATCTCTATTGCCATTGTTGTATTCATTTGGTCGAATTCGGTAATCAGTGTACTTACTTTTAAATATCTGAAAAGCAAATGGGTTACGGTGATCTTAGAAATAGCTTTTGCATTGAGCATTTCAGATCATACTTCAAATATGTAGGTTGGTAGATTTTGTAGCCTTAAAACTGCTAAGATGCCTAATGAAATCTCATGTCTTCTGAAAATACCGATTTTGGTTTTAGGGATGGTGGATCTCAGTCAATTCATCTAGTATGAGTGTTTTGTAGTTTACGGAATAAAAGGCTCCCTGCTAATGCAAACGCATCTGCGCACTCAGCTTCTACTTTGAACAAGTATATTCCCATGTTGCTTAGCTGACATTTAAGCGGCAGTCCCTTTAGATAAAATTGTCAGCATACAGGTTCGGAGTCTTATAATGATCTGCTCCCTGTTTATGATATATAGTTTAACTTACTCATGTTTGGGTGGTTCAAATATTATGCTCAACTTCCAGGAAGAATTCGATCATTGTGGCCTACTTTAATTCATTTGTGTTATTTTCTGCTAGCACCTACTTATTTAATCTGCAAAAATAAATCTCATTTTAGGTTAATTTGAAAAGCACTTGACAGCTTCACGCACTTTTCGGACCCCTTAAAATGCTTGACTGCTTATTTTCCACTTCCAATTTCTTGAGAATGGATGCGTCGAATGTATCCGTTAACGAAATTTAAAACTGTATTTTTTACTTATGCTTAGCTTGCTCAAATGTAAAGAAGTTTTGGAAGTTTCGTCCTCATTATTTTGGCATCCTTGTTCCACGCTAAAGGCGCTTATTGACAGCCCATAGTCTAGATTTTGAACAGCTCTCCTCCTTCCCTCTTTCTCCTCCTCCTCCTCCTCGTTCAGTATGAAGTGTCGGTGTACCTGCTTTTAATAGACGCGCGTAATACCTTTTGATTTCGTTCTACTACGTTACGAGCACATCTACGAAAACCTGTTGCATTTAAATTTATATCATAATGGTCAACTGATTTGACTGTGCGGAACAAACCACATAAGTTTCAAGGAAATTTCTGTAAACCTATTTTAGAGGAGCCAACATGCGAAAGCTAGGCGAGTACCTCATCAAATATCAAGATCCCTGTCAAGCTGATAGCTTGTCAAAGTTGCAAGCCGATGTGGAGGATACAACTCAAATTCTTGTGAGTTACTGGCTTCAATCTTCCATTCGTTCTGCATAGGTATCAAAATAACCTAAATTAAATCCTACCTATTTACTTTTACATTGTTGCACACATTAATTGCCATTGGTGTCAAAATTCAGTCGAGTGATTATGCAAATAGGCTCCTCGATGCGATTCTCCATAGATAATGGTCTTCCTATGTTGGTATAGTGTTGCAGATTTACTTTGATAGTTCGCTTCCGAGAACTGACAACAGAACTTGTCTTCAGCATCAGCCGCCGAATATCGCACGTTTGTCTCTCATCTTACCCTATTAGCTAATCGAAATTCCGAACTTGAATGTTACAATTTCTGCAAAATTTTGCGTTACTCGCTTTACAATGCATTTTAAAGAAACAACAAAATTCCAATGCATGTATTGGTCCATAATGGAAATTTAGGGTGCTGGTCTTGATGTGGCTGGCTAACAAGAGATGATAATTCCCTTGAATTCCTTGTCATATCCACGCTCTTTGATTGTAAAAAAATTGCGTATTGTTTTATGTCATTATCGTGCGTTGTGTAAGTTTTGTAACCTAAATGGCCAGGGAAGTGGTCGCATTTATTTTCTCCACAATGGAGGAATTTCACTACTAATTTCAACTGTGGATTGGATTCAGAACCATAAACTATGTTGGACGTGCGCTACCGGTGCTCTAATTTTTTTGGCTCTGTGCCTTGTAACCAAATGACACCCGGTTCTCCTTTGGCGAATCCTAAATTGCATTTGTACAATAAGGATTAGATAATGAGGCCGTCCATGAATTTTATATGCTTGAAAAGTGTCTGCCTCCTGCCATCTTCTGAATCCACTCGAGAACTTGCAATTGTACCGAAACACATTTTACCCCTCACTTAGGTGGATTGTTTATTCATGTTGAGAAGGAAACTAGCGACTGTGATGCTAAGGTCTTCGCTTATTATCGAAGTCTGTATAATGCTTCGCATTCTTATTCGTAGCTGCCGTCTGGGAACTTGATGAGCCGATGCGGTTTAACTTCCCAGGAGCAATTAAATCAAAACTTCGCTTCATGTTCATTTTTCTACTTGATTTTCTAACTACTACTTTGATTTCCCTCTGTTATTTAGCATCAAACTCTCGAGACGTTAATCGAACGCGGTGAAAAACTTGATGATTTGGTAATCAAGTCGGAAGATCTCAGTTCTCAATCCAAACTTTTCTATCAGACGGTAAATACTCTTCTCATGTTTTTTTAATTAGTAATGTCTTTCCTTTAAGGCTACCTGGCTGTCGCTTCTTCATTAAAGGTCTGCGTTTGCATTCCTCAGAGGGATCCGTTCCTTTAAGCTCTTATTTTAGCTAACAACTTATTATTGTGGATTCCTCTCTAGATCAAGATAACGTAGTGTTTTACAAATGAATCCGTAGCTAGATTTTTAGCACATCATAAAAATGCAAGCTCTTAGTAGTAATGCTATGGTTACCCAGTAGATATTTGCCTGTATATTTCATAATTTGCTTAAGTTGTTGCGTCCTGGGCTTCGACTTTTATCAGAGATCATAGCAACAAGACATTCACACCTTCATGCTGAAAATCTCGTACGTTATGGGGTATGCTGGCTTCTCCCTCGTTGACGAAAGCGAAGCCATTTAGCCTCACTGGTCTTGTTTTGGCGATTTCGCCCAATGATACAAGATGCATCCTAAGTTGGCATAATCTAAACTAAGGTTTTAAGCACTATTTTTCGTTCTTAACCTAAACTGCTTTTACTTAAATCATTACTTTTGAGAGTCTATGATTATTGTTGTGCTCACATAGTCGCAATTGCAAGCTGCATTCGGAGTCAGTTCCTTTGAATGAGCCAACTTACTGCTTCTTAAAAGCACCAACCTTTGATTACTTATTAGTCATTGTTGGCACACCTATTTAACGTTAATTTCGCGATTTTACGCCATCGTCCTATCTTTGCCTTAATTTTGTGGTTTGTTTAGCATTTATGGAGATGACTGTTTATTTATAGCTGCTATTTTTCCTTATTTTAAGGCGAAGAAAACAAACAGTTGTTGTAAATTCTTGTAAACTCCTCATTCTCCCTGTTCGCATGTTCATCTGATGAAGAATCCTTTTTCCTCCTGCCCTCATGAATTCCGCAACCTCCTGCGGGGATGAGCTCCGCTTCCTTCATTTGACCTCACTCGAGTCGTGGATGCTACCGTTGTAACCACCGCCTCCGCTCTCCCTTTGCCCCCTCGCAGATCCAACTCTTAACTCATTCCAGCCTACCGTCCTGATTAATGATTGGCGATTCCACTGAACCAGAAATAAGTATTACAAACCTACCTCTCTTGTGAAGTCTACGCGTTATATGTTCTCCTGCCAATTACCTTTTAATCTGTTTCGCTCCTTACACATCTTTATCGTTGCTCCTATGTAATCTGGTACTGTGTATAGCTGATGGTGTTGATACATTGCGATCATTTTTTCCATCTTGCGTCCATTCCTTTTAGCAAATTTGTTACTATTAATGGTGAATTGTCGCCATTATAGGGTCTTGCGATATTGCTGTTGATCTTCTAGTGTTAATTTTCCTTGCAAGCCTAATTTATTGAATCTTTACTCCGCGGTTATTATCTGTACCTTTCTTTTTACTTAGTCATTCATATTTTTAACTATTCGGACTGAGTTCTGTGGTATGGTGGGTGCTTAGTCCAGCTTCGTGACGTTTTTTTTTTCAGGCCACTTGCGGTAAGTGTTGCAGGAAGCACAGTGTTGATTTTTTTTTTATTTTTTGGCTGTCTTTGAGCCATATTTGGTTTTGCGGCGGAACTTGCGTATACTTTGTTACTTATCCTTGGAAAGTAGCGAGGCGAAGTTTTCTCTTCAGCTGAACTTGAGTAGCACAACACAATCTGCGACTGACCGTTAGCTGAGAATTAGGCTTCTGGAGATCATTCATGTCTTGAAGAATGAAAAACGAGTGGTAGGAAACAATCATGGGAATTTTTCGGAGCAGTATCACAGTAAGCGCCCTCACATATTTTGGACAGATTGTTTTTTTTCGCACCGTTGTCATGCCTGAAAACTGCCAAGTAATCGGGACTACAGCCTTCAAAGCCATCGAATCAATGTTATTGGATGTGACGCGGTGTTGCTGCAGTAACTCAAGATGCGCAAAGGGGCTAACACGATGGCAGTTCATTTGTGGAACGGCGTTGTGATGCCTCACGGGCCACAGGCATCCCCGCCATTCAGGGAGTGCACATGCGTCTGAATTCCATGTGTTCAATCGATATCTTGACAGTCACGCTGTGTAAGCTGGTTAGGGGGCAGGCATTGACACCGGCGTGACTATAATGAGTCGTAAGACACCTCAACAACGTGAAGCCAGCAAGAAGGCCAAAATTGAGCCTCTCAAAAGCGACAAATATCGCCTTATCAGTCGCCTAGGAGATGGTGGATTTTGTGAGGTGTTCAAAGCAAAAGATCTCGTCAACAATCGATACGTTGCGATTAAGCGCGTGGATCGAAGTAAACCAACGTACCAGAAATACTCTCCAAAAGATGTTGAGAAAAAGGTGAAGAAGCTGATGTATAGAGAAGCTACTATTATGCGCTCATTAGATCATCCGAACCTGATAAAGTTGTATGAGCTAGTCGAAGATAATGAACAAATATTTATCGCAATGCAACTGGCAGAAGGTGGCGAACTTTTTGACAGGATCATTAAACGTGGGAAGTTTACGGAAAAGGATGCAGCCACAGTTGTGGCCCAGGTTATTGCGGCAATCAAATACATGCACGATCGCGGTTTCGTTCACCGAGACATTAAACCGGAAAATATTTTATTCGATAGCATCAGTGACGACTCGAAGCTTCTCATTACTGATTTCGGACTATCGCGTGAGTTGGAGCAAAAGATGCTTACCAATTGCGGCACTGTTGATTATTCAGCTCCAGAACTTCTCAAAAGCAAGCTTACGAAAGTAGGGTATGGGCCAGAAGTTGACAACTGGAGCATAGGTGTCGTATCCTACATTCTACTTTGTGGCTACCCACCATTCTATTCTACAAATCAAGATGATAGTGAGATAAAGAAGCAGATCATGTCCGGTACTTACCACTTTCATCATCCGCACTGGGATAATATTTCAAAACATGCAAAATCATTCGTTGCTGGCTTGTTAAAAGTTGATCCGTCAGAGAGGATGTCATTAAAGAATGCTTTGGAACACCCCTGGATTAAATTGGAGTGCCCAAATACTTTGGACCTCTACCCACTCATAGAGGAACGAATGAGAGACACGATTGCCAAGCAACGCTGGAGATGTTTGGGTTTAGCTGCTGGAGCAGTTCACTTAATGAGTGTTCAAAGTCCTTCCATGATTGTGCGCAGACCCTCAATCATGGAGACCCCAATAATGAGTGGCTGAGTGTGGTAATCTTTCTCCAGTGTTTCCTGATGCATTTAGTTGTTATTTCCATTTCCTTTGTCACCAAATACCTTTTTCCATTGCTCTTAATTATTATCAGTTAGTTTTAATTGGGTTTAATTAAATTAAGAGGCAAGAAATATGACTTTCTTTTAGCCTTAATTGCTTGTCTCGGTGATAAACAATGTTAACCTTGATGCACATTCTTACCATCTTTCTGCAGAGCCTTCATTTAGTCATGGCACTTTTCAACTGAATAAAGTAGTAATTCATCTCCTAGTTGTTCGCTTTTTTGTGGCAACACAAAGATTTGTCTAATTCTCCTTTCTGAGACATGGGAATTTACTATGATACTAAGATTCCGTTTTATTCACGAGAAATACCGAAATTTCGGAAAATTTGGTAAATTTGCTTGATGGATCACACATTTAAGATTTGTCAAGTGTCAACAGAAGCATTTTTTGTACCTTGTGTGGTCGAATGTTTCGCAAAATGTGTTTCATTTAATTGTAATGGTCGCCAGGGCATCAACAAAAGGTAGCTTTAGTTGTACAGACTAGGTAGTTCATCAAGCAGCTTTACAGAGTGGATAAGAATGAATGCCTCTGCACACGTTCGGATGGTTCACTTGTCTGTGTAGTCAAACTGCTTCGGTCGCAATGAGCTTTTCAACTTTACATCTCTGTGTGTTGTTGCTCCCACATCAAAATGGAAACGGAAAATTTGGTTTGCACAAAATTTAAAATCATTCCAAATCTGCTAGGCGAATCCGCAGTATTTTAAACGAATCTCTCGACAGTAGTGACAGGTTTGTAGTTGAATCGCATTCGATCACAAAGAGGCGTCCATTCTCAACCCCTCTCCCCTCCCCTTCCCCCTTCTCTCCCCCCTCCCAAAGTGGTGGACGTATGCCCACTTCCAGCAGTGGGGAGTCTGACGAATTAAGTTAACAGATATTTTCATTCCATACTGCTCCATAGATGGCAATCCACAAAGTGTTGGTAGTAGTGGGTACAACTCCTAGCAACGCATTATTTTGAGATGTGTAAAATTTATTAACATGCTTTTAGCATTTTCGGTGGTGAGAAGCAAAGACAAAATGCTGCAAACATAAAAGTGCCACAGGAGTTTAATAAATTTGAATTCTAATGCAAAGTAAAATTATTATTATTATTATTTATTAGGGTTCAAGAAGCTGTACCCATAGAAGCCGCATTTCGAGTGGGCATAATAATGTATTTCTTGACGAGGATATTCAATGTAAGATTGCAAAGCAAGTATGATAAGGCTGCAATCTAGGACAATCTTTTGGGAAAAACTAAGTTTATTAAGCTGAAGTTGTACTTTAGTGGCAAATAATGTTTTCAACCAAACGTCGGCAAATAGCGAGAGGCAGTACTTCGTTAAAGTGCAATTAGTATTAACAATCACGGACAGAAGTACGAGCAAAGGAATCTGATGCTTTGAAATAGTTAGTCAACATTAAGGCAAAAAAGCAACCTATACTATTGGTTTAAGAGTATTTGTGGTCCCGAAATCGACGGAAAATTTTGCAGCCAAACGGATGACAATTGCACCATAATTGATCAGTCTAGCTGAAGTAGAGTGACCACTCGGAAATTCGGGCGACTGTCTTTAAAAAGGTTGGTTCTACAATGTCTGCAGTTTGTGCTGTTGCAGCAACCGTGATCTCGCGGGTCACGGACTCCATCCCTTCTTACTCATTGGATAAATGTTCATTGCTAACTTGGGCAACTGAATGATGATAAATTATGCAGAGTGATAGGATTTATTTATCATTCCAGGGAAATTGTACCACCATGTATTTGCTAAAGACAGTCATTTGCCAGCGTTTGAAGAACTAAGTTGTAGCAAATTAGTACACGAGCACGTAAGTGATCCCGAAATGTGTTATCCATTGGGGTATAAGAAATGTTGAAAACCCCTTCAAAGGTAATGCTAACGTCACCAACTTTTTTACAAAACTGACGCACCTAATGTAAACCGAATTCCTCATTTTTTGTCTTTCATATTATAACGCGCTTAGCATAAGCACTTGATTACCGATAATGGAAACAGACATTCTATTAATCATCGTAGCTTCTAGCGTCTCCTCTAAAGTGAGGTTCTCGAGCAAAAAGTGGCCGTTATCATGCGGACTCCATGGGTTTGCGTAAGCGACTGTAGAGCCAAGCACAATATTATAAGGACGGCAGGGAGCGAAAAACAACGTTTCAATTTCCATTGTGATGCTAATAAGGAAATCTTACCTCTGCTTCCATTGTGCTCAATTGTGTTATTGTAATTAAGTAGGAAGTAGCCTTTCGATAGCCAGCAAAATATTTCGCAGTTATGAGAAGTTAACGGTTTTTTAATTTTGCCTCTTGATTCAGCAAAATATTTGCAGCTAGCCACATATCTAGACATGAAAATGTCGGCTTAAGATTGCCGATTTTGCATATTGTATCGCAATAGCATTGCACTTGTAATTCAGTGCTTATATTAGAGCCGAAATCCAGTGTAATTGTGTGGCCGAATTTTACGTTGAGGACTGACCTGGGTCAGCGCATGCGTCTTATGTATGTGTTGGAAGCAAGACAAAGGGGATTCTCGTTTGACCGTAAAAGATTAAATGAATTTTCTTACATCGCGTCAAACCTATCAGTAATAAATGCCAACTCAGCTGTTGCAACTTCATACAGCCGTCCTTTTCTTTAATACAAAAATTGCCCACTACTTAACGAGATTGTTCGAGTCACAGTAAGGTCAAACTGAAAAACTCCTATTTCATATTTTCATCAGAAGAACTGTCCACTAAGTCAGTTAAAGTGTTGCGTTTTAGAGGAACTTGCACAAGTGATTAAGGAAACAGAAAAGCTCTCTTTGTCGTGGGTGCGTTCTACTCACGCATTTAACATTGCGCTATTCATAATGCAACACATGAACCAATTTCCGGCACAACTTGGAATTTTACATAGTTTCCTTTTCCAAGGTTTCGTTGCCGTAATCCTGTTCTCCGTTGCATACGTTTGATGCTATTAAGATGAATGTGTCGTAGTACAACGTTCAGCATCGTTAACTACCGTTCTACTGCTTAGTGTGTCATTTCCATGTTTAATTCAGTCGCTCACTCAAGAGGTGCTATGGTCGATTTTCTCAATAGAGATTAAAATAAAAGTAGTTGATATTTGATTAAAAGTTGGTAGACTGCATTAGAACCCGAGAAGCATTAAAGTAAAATTAAATTAAATTGGCAGTTCAGTTAAAGGGGAACTTCTTGAACTCAAATGATTGAAACCTTTACTGCATTCCAGTGAGTATCCCGGTGCGTGGTAGTAAAATTGCATTAATTTTTGACAACCTTTTTACCGTTACGGTCAGGGAGGAGATGCATCATCATTTAAGGCACAGGCACCATGGCCGCAAAGCACAGCAAGGTTTTACGCAACAAGGTACTGAGAAAATGCTAACATTCTGCCAATTGCCTCATTAACAACACTGCTTTTTTGTTGTTGGAGAGAATCCTCTGCGCTTATAGAGTCAAAGTTCTTATATTTAGTAAAATCATTCGAATTTCCAGTACTTCATGTTTTCCTTGGGGGGTCTCAAGAATTCAATGCGAGAATGTAAGCGTCTGTTTACGCGCATGAAAATTCCTAGACTTAAGAAACTTGCGTGTTTACATAATGCTGAACTAGGATCGAAAAGCATAAAAAATAGAATGATCTAATGAAATGTACAAAAATTACAAATAAAGCACCACAAAATGCAAATTTGCTCGAGTACAATCATCAAGTAATGCTGTCCATAATCGTGTCTAACCTGGTTTAGACGAAACATTTTATCCCGAAACCGTAATGAGCCAAAGTGACATGATGATTGAACACACTATTGCCTCACAGGAGAGTTGAGTGAATGTTGATGTGGTCTAAAAGCCATGCTAGGGAACAGAAGTACGGCCAATGCACAATCACTATACCCATTTTTCAAAATAAGAGTTTATAAAACAGAAGCCACGATGCCAATTCCATTCACCTATTTATACAAATGGTTTGCTTCGGCAAAGGTGATATTTTGTGTCCGTCGTTGCATTTTCACAAATTGGACTAACACCTCTGATTTAATCAGTTTTCATGCTTGCTCAAGCTAGCGTTTAATTTTCATTTTGGAAAAATTTTCACTTTTGATGTTTTATCCCAACTTGTTCAGTATTAGATTTAAACGTAATAGAATTGCCAATGCTTTTGGAAGGTCTACTTATCAGGGAAAGCTATGGGATGCTTAGCATTGCAGTAAAAGGCATGAGGCATGGCTAAATACGCGTATTCACACAGAAAGAATAAAAGTGAGGCAACGGCCTGACCCGAAGGCCAGTCCGCATGCCGGAAGCATGTTCGTCATCAATGTGCCTCAGTCATACGGTACGGTACCATTCTATTGCAACTTGAGTCAGCAACTATCCTCGTAATCTTTTTAATGCTAAATAAATCAATTAGGTTCTCTCTTGACCTTACCTGGAGCAATAGTCGCTTCAAACCGATTTTAATATCCCAATTTTTCCATCAGATCCACATCTAACCACTTCAATTAGGCAGGCATGCAAACATGGCATTTGTCAGATACGTTTTGACAACGGGCTTGAGCCCTTTACAATACTTGACACAGTCGCAGGAAAGAGCAAAAGTAGGAAAACCTGCAAAACCTTCTCCATATCAATAAGTTTCTAAAGTTCCAAATCACGTCTTGAGTCTTCTATTTCTCTTTGACCGTTTACTTATATTCCGCTTTGTAATGGGCTAACTTGATCGTATTGATATGGTTTGTTTCGCAATTTCAATCGCCCCTTTGCATGAAATGTGATAATTATATGAGTACGCTGAACTGCCTCAATTTCGATCGTCATCGCTAACAAACGAATGAAATTTAGTCTGCCTTTATTCGATACTTTTCATTTTTTCCCATCCAAACACTGCAGATATCGTCTTGTCAAGGGTGGGAAATGGGTTGATGGTCCTCGTCAATCTTCAAGTAAAATTATCACATTTAAAACCTACATACCTCATTACACTTTTGAAGATCTTGTACTAAACCGGAAAAACAGTTTGATCTCGAGGCGAATTTTTAGCCTATACGACCTAAGCAAACAAAAGAGGAAGGAATGTTTATTGCGTGGTTAGAAGAGCCACACCAACTTCTATCAGCAACATTCCTGGATCCATGCCGACTCACTCATCCCAGTGGGAGAGTTAGCACAAGAGGCGGCCGGATCACTCACTTGTTTACCGATAGCCGACACTATTCGACCGCCTAGGGATATCAACATCCCTCTAAATTCTGGAAATGCTCTATTCAAACGTCCCATCAAGGACCACGTGAAACATATTGCCAAACTTGGCCAAGAAGCCGGGAGCTGGGCCCCGTACACCCGTATCGACTGTTATAGTTGACTCAGAAAACGATACCACCCATGCACCACCCATTCCGTGTGCCTGCCCTTACAAAACAAAACCAAACCGATGAATCACTCCAACATCCAGTTCTACGACAAAATTCATGCTAATCAAGACTCATAGAACAAACCATGAAGGCCCACGTCGACCAAGAACACTTCAATGTCAACCCGTACACATAAAAAGAGATCAGTCAGCAGAAACTTCGTAATTTCAGCAGAAGATACCCACAACAGCAAGCATTACAAAGGAATGGAAACCTAGGATGGATATCAACTCCGCGTTCAAGCCTAGACACGCCCCATCAGGAGCTAACGCTCAGGATCCTCAACAGGCTTCTCCTCTTTCAGTTTGATGAGGTCATCAATGCGCAAAATTGTGATCGCCGCCTCGGTGGCGAATTTCAAACTTTTTATTTTTGAAACTAGGGGTTCGAAAATCCCAAGCTCCTTGCAGTTTGAAATGCAATTCTTTTGAAGATCGAGACCCCATCTAGAAAAAAATAAGCCGCGAATATTATTAGATGAACAGTGATGCCGGAAGACTTAAGTAGAAACATAACTTGTTCAAAAAGAACCTATGACCATGCAATTATAGACAAAAAGAAACAAGCCCGGAGAGTAACAAAAGTATGGCAACAAGACTCACAACTTCATGTCTGCGTGTTCAGATTTCATCTGGCTCGTGTTATGGCAAGCTCGTAAACGAGAAATCAGATCAGTGCTATCAAGGGCTGCATTGACAGCAAGCTGCTTGGGGATCACTAACATCGCACGAGCAAACTCGGCAACAGCCAATTGCTCACGAGAACCCATTGTCATAGCAAAGTTCTCAAGGAAAACGGAGACCGCCGTTTCACAAGCACCAGCTCCAGGCACAATCGATTTGCTTTCCAAAACACGCTTGATGACCTGGTGAAAAAAACATACCGATCATAGAATATCGATATCAATTTTGCGTAACTCAACCATTTGCAATAGTCTCAGCGAACCTGAAGTGAATCATGCAGTGATCGCTCCATTTCGTCCACGTACAAATCATTAGCGCCACGGAGAATAATGCTGGCTGCAGACCTAACCTTCGGATCGTGTATAAGTATCAGTTCATCATCACAAATCCTCTCTTGCACCACCTCACCTGCCTGTGCAAAAAACAAACCTTATCTACGCAGACCTAACGTCTTTAATGTATGAAAACGAAAGATGACTGACCTCACCAAGCAAAGCAGAATCAAATGTCTCCTCACCATCCATATTGGACATCGTAACAATAAGCTGCCCACCCGTGGCCTTGGCAATGCGCTTTAGATCAACACGCTTACACCGCCTAACGGCCATTGCACCCGCCTCAACGAAGTACTTCATACAAAGGTCGTCAATGCCTCCCGTAGTCAAAATTACGTTGGCACCCGCCGCAAGTATCGTCTGGATACGCTCCTTAGTGATGTCCGCTTCACGGTTACGAATCTCCTCCAACTTGTCGGGGTCACTCACAAGGACTTGGACACCTAACTTGAGCTTCACCTTCTGCAAGTTGAAATCAAGAAAGGCAATTTTCGCATTTTCGATTTGGCGTGGCATCTGCTGAGAAGCAATGGTACAGTTGAGCGCGTAACCATTAATAAGAACACTCTCTCTCATTGAACGACCATGGGCTTTTAAAATGTTGATAGCCTTTGTTGCGCATACAAAGCCACCATGGCCATCAGGCACCTTGACAGCGAGCGCAGCCTCGACAGCCATGTTAGCAAAGAAGTCCGCATCTCTACAAAAGGCATAAAGAGGACCGAACTTATGTGCAGATTGTGACAATGCAAGCGAAGGTGTGACAACCAAGGCATCAACTCACACAGTTATCAGTTTGCTAGACATCGATGTTTTAGCAGCATTGACAAGACAGGACTTTCCAAGCGCATCCGAATCAAGAACAAGATTATTCTGTATGTATTTACAGGCCTCCCGACACGCAAGTCGATAACCACTCATGATTGTAGTTGGATGAATTTTTTGGGCTATGAGCTCATCTGCATTACGAAGCAACTCGGCGGCTAAGATAACGACACTTGTAGTGCCATCACCAACTTCGTCGTCCTGAAGTTGGGCCAACTGCACCAAGACTTTCGCCGCTGGTTGCTCCACGTCGAGCAACTTCAATATCGTAGCTCCGTCGTTTGTAATAGTTACATCACCTACGTCATCCACTAGCATTTTGTCTAAACCTACAGGACCCAAACTGGTTTTCACAATGTTAGCGATAGAAATGGCAGCCATCACTAAACAGCATATTATGAAAAAGTGTTAAGTAGAGCAAACCATTTTGCTTGCGCACACTATCACCACTGACACGTTCACCCCCCAAAGACAGTGGAGTAGCAGCATTGCCCGACATTACCGAGTCGCTGAGTCACGCTGAAAAGCGCGTCTCTCGTTTCTCGGTGGTTTATTAAAACAAGCTATAGACATATAAATGAGTGTAGTAGATATTCTTCCTAGCTAAGCGTCCAAAAAGCTAATTTGTTAAAAGCAACTTAAAAGTTCCTGTGAAAGAAACCTGGATAAGGCAAAAGCACTTAATGATTTAACAAATATTATCAGATGTATCTAACATCTAAAAACACATAGGATCTGCCATTCTAAATTACGAGCATAGGTACCTAACGCTAAATTCGTGTTTGTGATTAGAGCGAGTACTTGAGAATCTTCAATACCTTCTGTGAAATGTCCTAGTCACTTTGAAGAAATAAAGCTGCCGCGATTACGGTGTGTTAAGAAAATACACACAGACTTGATCTTAAGACTACAATGCTTTGTTAGTGTAAGTACCTGGCGTTTTATGGTCACTTAAGGGTTTGTCAGGCCGTTGTTCTCGTGGGCTGGCCTTCGGACCATTCTCAGGCTAACTTGCTCTGCATTTAGCTTTACTTACTACCTTCTCTTTCATTACTAAAAGTATAAAGCCATAGTTTTCAAGCACAAGGCATCGGTTGCTTAAACGTCTCCTACATAAAGAGTTATTTGAGCCCAAAACATAGAGAGGCATAAGTCCATTCCGGATGCTTTCATCCTAGAAACGATTTAAATGCCTTTATAGATTTATGATGTATGTGTAGCGTCCCGTGACTTCCGATGGGGTAGTAGAAGGCATAAGTGGGGTTGAATACATGTATTCCGAAAGCAATAGGAGAAAT